ATCCACCTCGCAGGTTAAGAAAACTAATTGATGATCACACATTTTTGGTGTATGTTATTCTTATATATCAAGCCTTACAATGCATCTTCGGAATTCTCTTCTATGAATTCAAAAATGACGGATTAGTATATCCAGTTGTACGTAAAATTAAATTTTAAACTAAACTTTTATTAAAATTTTCTTTATTATTTCAGTATTTGTACATTGATGTAAGCAAATGGCCTTACCGTCCGGTATATCATTTATTGTTTGTTTGTGTGACAACGTACATTTCGGTTGGAATCCTGGTAACGTTTTGTTTTTTGCTTCTATTAAGAAGTATCGCACACGATTGTTTGAATGTATTCAAATCTATTTTGAGAGATATAAAGGAAACTCAAAATAAATCACAGAGGCAAGAAATGTTGGTGAAAGCTTATAAAATACATCAATTTGCTATGCAGTGAGTATAAACAATTATAAAAAATAATAGTATATTTAGTATTAAGTAGTATGCTTTACCCCGTGACTAAAGTACTTTATAAACGACAATAATATATTAAGTATAAAGTACTAAAACCTGCGACTAAAACACTACCGCTGTAGAAGTAGTAAACAAAAATGAAAACATATGCAGAAAAATGTATTTTAGTGCTTGGAGTGGAGTTGCTAATACTTTCAAGTGGCCACTAATGGTGCAGTATTTGACATCTGCTATTATTATTGGATTGATTATTATATCGCAATTAATTGTATGTGTTTAATATAAAATTGCTTATTTTTTAAATTATGCTTGTAATAAATATTGTAGAAATTTGATTTTGTATCAATAGCTCATATGTTTATCTATATTATTGGAATTTGTTTGTTTGGATTTATGGGTGAAGAAATGAAGAGATTGGGCGAAGAATTTGAATATGCGACGTTCTATTCAATTCCTTGGGATGGCGACGTGAAAACTGCGAAATTTCTCATATTTATGAATTTAAATTTGCGTAAAGTGTTTGAATTACCTTTAGGTAATTATGCTGTCTACAGTAATCCACTTGCACTTTTGGTAAGAATTAATCAAATAAATTAATTAATAATTAAAACAAATTAATTATTATTTTAGATTTTTAAAATGGTTTATTCGGTTGTCATGTTATACATTAATAAATATAACAGTGTAAAAAACTATAAAAATTTAAACTAAAACGCTATCGGAGTGCAAAATAAATTAATATTAAAACGATGATAAAAAATGAATAAATAAATTATCAAAACACTACTTTGCTGCTCGTTGATTCTAATCTTCCCTAAATATATCAACAAAGACTCCAACATCATCATTTATTTCAAATCTACTGACTATCTTATTGTAATCCAAGTAGATTTTAATAAATATCAAGACAAGAAAACAATAAATAAATAAATAAAATAATTTCTGATGCCGATGGAAATTGTCTGATTATCTTGTCGACACTAACGATTACTCAGAATATAATTTATATACGAATAGTACTGTTCGAATTTTGTCTGCTAAGTTGACTTCTACACTTTGTTCTTAAATTATTTTAGAGATAATAAAATACAATGAGGCTAAACCGTGATCACTTTCTTGCGTGTAAAATTGCAGAAAGAATTTATTGGCCCAGCAATACCCTACTATACCAAAGCATCAATCTAATTTACAATTTTGCATTTTATGTCGTTACTGGTGGTAACATTGCCTATTTAATCAACTTATATCGTGAGCATAATATATTTATATTTTATTTAAACAAAATCTAGAAAAAATAAACTTTTTCAAGTGTCTGGAGCAAGTTTCAGTCAACTTGCATTAAATCTTTCATGGTTAACATCATTATCATTTGGACATTACGCAGCATATTCATTAAAACAAGCTTCAGAAACCGGACCAAACCTATGGCAATTCCTCGAAGACAATTCCTTATTTGCATATCCACCTAACAGACTAAGAAAACTAATTTATAATCACACATTTCTGGTGTATGTTATTCTTACATATCAAGCCTTACAATACATCGTAGGAATTTTCTTTTATGAATTCAGAAATTATGGATTAGTATATCCAGTTGTCCGTAAAATTAAATTTTAAAATTAATTTTTATTAAAATGAAATTTATTATTTCAGTATCTCTACGTTGATGTAAGCAAATCGCCTTACCGTCTGGTATACAATTTATTGTTTATTTGTGTGACAACGTACATTTCAGTGGGAATCTTGATAACATTTTGTTTTTTGCTTCTATTAAGAAGCATCGCACACGATTGTTTGAATGTATTTAAATCTATCTTGAGAGACATTCAGGAAACTCAAAATAAATCACAGAGGCAACAAATGTTGGTAAAAGCTTATAAAATACATCAATTTGCTATGCAGTGAGTATACAAATTTATAACAATTAATAGTATATGATGTATCAAGTGGCAAAACAGAAGTTTGTGTCACGAAATTGATTAAGAGCGAGTATTTAATCGATCGAGTGTTTAACATCGTTTAGCCACGTGATGCTTACACTATTTTTTCTACTTCCACTCTGTTTCCACGTTGAGGTTTTTGTGTTTGAATTTGTGTATGTTAAATCATTGAAATTGGGTTGCACACTACTGGGAAATGTAAGATTATAAATGCCGTGCCGTCCCAACACGATCAGCATCAGCGCATGCGAAGACGCATGCTCCACCCTGTGACTAAAACCCGAGACAAATGTACTTTAGTCACGGCCTTGGTCGTCCGTGTTTAAAGCACCGCTTTTCTTATCACAAAACCATGGAAAAACTGGTAGAAGTAGAAAAAATAAACAAAACATTGCAAAAACACGCATTTTAGTGCTTGGAATGGAGTTGCTAATATTTTCAAGTGGCCACTGATGGTGCAGTATCTTACATCTGCTATTATTATTGGATTGATCATTATATCAGAATTAATTGTATGTGTTTAATATAAAATTACATTTTTTTAAAATTATACTTATAATAAATGTTGTAGGAATTTAATTTTGTATCAATAGCTCATATGTTTATCTATATTATTGGAATCTGCTTGTTTGGATTTATGGGTGAAGAAATGAAAAGATTGGGTGAAGAATTTGAATATGCGACGTTCTATTCAATTCCTTGGGATGGCGACATAAAAACTGCGAAATTTCTCATATTTATGAATTTAAATTTGCGTAAAGTCTTTGAATTACCTTTAGGTAATTATGCTGTCTACAGTAATCCACTTGCACTTTTGGTAAGTATTAATTTTATTCATTAATAAATAATTAATATGGTTTAATAATAATTTTAGATTTTTAAAACGGTTTATTCCGTTGTAATGTTATACATTAACGAACTTAAAGGTATAAAAATGTGATTATATGAATGAATTAAAAATGTGCAAATTGATAAGAAATAAAAAATTAATTTTGAATGCATAGTGGAGTAGATTTTTATCAAACCTCCGTTTGCATACTGAATACTTAATAAAGTTTAGTTGCTAATTGATGTTTCTAATCTTTCCTTAATATATCAACAAAAAATCTCACATTATCATTTATTTCAAATCAACTGACTATCTTATTGTAATCCAAGTAGATTTTAATAAATATCAAAACAAGAAAACAATAAATAAATAAAATAATAATTTCTGATGCGATGGTAATTGCCTGATTATTTTGTCGACACTACCGATTACTCAGAATATAATTTATATACGAACTAGCGACCTGCCCCGGCTTCGCACGGAAGTAAAAAACCGCATGAAAATCCGTTGCGTAGTTTCAATGATTTAAGCATACAAAGAGACAGACAGAGAAAGCGACTTTCCTTCTCCAAACAAAAACATCAACCGGTCAACTTCAACCCACACGTGCACACATACACACGTCTATGCTTGGAGGGGGAAGCTACGAAGCATCGCACAAAGAGCAGACGGGAATAATCGAAAACTTTGTATTTACGACATCACATTAGAAACCTCAAAAATAACAGTACTTCTCCACTATTTAATGGATGTTATTATACATACAAACCTTCCTCTTGAATCACTCTATCTATTAAAAAAAACGGCATCAAAATCCGTTGCGTAGTTTCAAATATTTAAGCGAACAAAGGACCGGAAAAAAAAGCGACTTTACTTTATACTATGTAGTGATGATGGTGTTCGAATTTTATCTGCTAAGTTGACTTCTACACTTTGTTCTCAAATTATTATAGAGATAATAAAATACAATGTGGCTAAACCGAGATCAATTTCTCGCGTGTAGAATTGCAGAAAGAATTTATTGGCCCAGCAATACCCTACTATACCAAAGCATCAATCTAATTTACAATTTTGCATTTTATGTCGTTACTGGTGGAAACATTGCCTATTTTATCAACTTATATCTTGAGCATATTATATTTATATTCTTTTTTAACAAAATCTACTAAAACTAAATTGTTTTCAAGTGTCTGGAGCAAGTTTCAGTCAATTGGCATTAAATCTTTCATGGTTAACATCATTATCATTTGGACATTACGCAGCATATTCATTAAAACATGCATCAGAAACCGGACCAAACCTATGGCAATTTGTCGAAGACAATCCCTTATTTGCATATCCACCTAACAGACTAAGAAAAGTAATTCATAATCACACATTTTTGGTGTATGTTATTCTTACATATCAAGCCTTGCAATACATCGTAGGAATTCTCGTTTATGAATTCAGGAATTATGGATTAGTATATCCAGTGGTCCGTAAAATTAAATTTTAAAATATTTTTTTATTAAAATGGCATTTATTATTTCAGTATCTCTACGTTGATGTAAGCAAATCACCTTACCGTCTGGTATACCACTTATTGTTTATTTGTGTGGCAACGTACATTTCAGTGGGAGTCTTGATAACATTTTGTTTCTTGTTTCTATTAATGAATCTCGCATACGATTGTTTGACTGTATTCAAATCTATCTTGAGAGACATTCGGGAGACTCAAAATAAATCACAGAGGCAAGAAAAGTTGGTAAAAGCTTATAAAATACATCAATTTGCTATGCAGTGAGTATAAAAATTTATAAAGAATAATAGTGTATTAAGTATTAAGTGGCAAGCACCACCCCGTGACTAAAGCCCATGACTAAAGTACTTTACTCACAGTTTTGGCCATTTATGTTTAAAATAAAAAACTTTTTGTGATTCAAAACCATAAAAATATCTGACTTTTTAAAAGTAGCAGTAACAAATGAATAAAAAACATTATATAATAAAACATGTATTTTAGTGCTTGGAGTGATGTTGCGAATATTTTTAAATGGCCATTGATGGTGCAGTATTTGACATCTGCTATTATTATTGGATTGATTATTAATTCAGAATTAATTGTAATTGTTTAACATAAACTTGCTGTTTTTAAATTAACTTGTAATAAATGTTGTAGCAATTTAATTTTGTATCAATAGCTCATATGTTTATCTATATTATTGGAATCTGTTTGTTTGGATTTCTGGGTGAAGAAATGAAGAGATTGGGTGAAGAATTTGAATCTGCGACGTTCTATTCAATTCCTTGGGATGGCGACGTGAAAACTGCGAAATTTCTCATATTTATGAATTTAAATTTGCGAAAAGTGTTTGAATTACCTTTAGGTAATTATGCTGTCTACAGTAATCCACTTGCACTTCTGGTAAGTATTAATTTTATTAATTAATAAATAATAAATATGATTTACTGATAATCTTAGATTTTTAAAATGGTTTATTCTGTTGTTATGTTTTACATCAATGCACTTAAAGGTAAAAATGTACTTCACGTATAAATAAATAAATAACTGTTAATTGTCGCCATTTTTGACAAGGACAAAGCTCGCTTTCATATCACTCGCTGATTAGTTTCATTATTGATTGCGCGCAAAATCAGCGCATGTGCCATCGATCTCGCTGCGCCGCTATTCCCCGCCACACTCCGCGGCGGCAACCTTGCAGTGGCGGTGGCGGCACGCGGCACAGCTGACATTTTCCTTCCGTCGCGACGCCGCGCACCCTCGTCCGTCCTGCGCCGATTGCAATCGCGCCGACGTTGTCTCTGCTTTTTGTTATTGTTCACATCGGCATGTGAAAACTCGTCAGTGACACATGTGCGGAAATAGTTCGTTAAGGTGTGAAGCGTAATATCATCTAAATTCATATATATCAGTGAAAACAATATACTTTTTACAATACAGAACAAAGCCCTGAAATAACCCATAGATATCAACTATTATTATCAACGAAAAAATCATTCTAATCATTAGATTAGAAATTTTATTTACAATGTGATCATAAACAATTGATTCAAAGTGCATAGTTAATAGTTACACAGTGAACACGTATATAATAATCGAAATAAAAACAATGAGTGTTTAAATAATACATAACACATTTAAAATTTTAAAAAATCATTTGATATCATCGCAAACAACGAATTTATCATTTTATTACCACAAAGCATACCGCGAGAGAAAAGTTAACATCAGATAACATCAGATTAAAGATTTAAACTATTAGTAATGTAATATACTGACTAACAACACTATCAACGAGTAAAGAAGTAGTATTACTAGTAAACTTGCGACATTGAAGCATATACGAGTAGAAGAGAAGGGTTTGAAAGTGAGAGTGGAATCACCTCCATAGTCCAAGCATCACCGTCAAAGAGAAACACAGAAATACGAAACACGTCGAGACGCTTGTATAACTTCTACGACACGTGCCTGTGTGCTCAAAACCTTTAAACAATCGAAAACATCGGAGCGCAGAAAAAATTAAATTCTAAAATGCTGATAGTGAGTGTATGTGTTATTTAACAATGTGTAAAGTGATAAGGAATAAAAAATGACTTCGAGGGAGGTTACTTTGGAGGGTGGATCACCATGGGGGTTTCGGATGCATGGAGGAGTTGATGTTCATCAACCTTTAAGAATATCACGCGTAAGTAATGTTTGAGATGCGGTATAAGTGTCGAACATAGGATAATACATTGGTAAAATGTAAAAGTATAAGTATTTAATATTTAGCAAATGTTTGAGTTGCGGTATAAGTATCGAACATAGGATAATACATTGGTGAAATGTAAAATTATAAGTATTTGCAATTTAATCAATGTTTGACTGGCGGTATAAGTAGGGAACATAGAATAATACATTGGTGACACGTAAAATTTTAAATATTTAATATTTAGCCACTCTTTGAGTTGTGGTATAAGTATCGAACATAGCATAATACGATATATCGATGAAATGTAAAATTATAAGTATTTACAATTTAATCAATGTTTGAGTTGCGGTTTATGTACTGAACATAGGATAATACATCGTTGACATGTAAAATTGTTCCGCTGTGTGATTATATTAGTTATTCCGTGTGTTGTCCACTCTTGGTCCGGTGTGAACGCGCAACAGGAAGTAACTGAACCGAAAACAACGCAAAATTAAAATAAATCAAATAGGAAACGAGTCATGTTGCAACGCATGAAAAATTCTATACATCCATATACTTAAAAAGGTGTAGCACTAACCAAACATTTAATATATAATTCAAAAAGTGCCAGAAAGAAAATTTAATGTCACTTGTACAGAATTAAAATATTACTCAGCAGATCAACGGTTTAATTTTTGTGTGAGTTAGAGAAGCGCTTGAATGATGCTCGCGTTCGGTGATCTATTTCCATCGATGATAATACACAGTGCACTCAGTATCGTTTGTGCTTGTACTTGTAGTGGAGTGGTTTTTTCGAGTGCGGTTTTGGCGGTGAATCAAAATTTCGCGCTCGCATGTGCGCAAAGTGCGATGTGTTATTGACGGATTCGGTTGTCCTGATTAGCGAATATAACAAACATCAAACATCAAACATGTTTAATCGGAGCTGAAATAAATACATTTGTGGTTTTGTGAATTATGGAAGTAATTATTGACGTTAAGGTTGATGATGTGGGTGAACGGATTGTTGCGTTAGAAGGAGGTCCACCGTGGGGATTCAGAATGCATGGGAATTGTGATAATGATAGAGAATTACAAATTTCACGTGTAAGTAAAATATTAAATTTTATCTTATAACGGTGATTTTTTATTTTTTGTCAAAATTTTTTGTTTTTGAATTTTTCAACGTCAAAGAATCTTAATACGGCAAATTGTACTTATTTGTTTTATGCGTTACCATTTGCAGTTAACTATTACGTACGTATACAGACAATTTCCCATCGCTTACACGACCAAAACCGTCATACGTTCGAGGAATGTCTTTGCCAATCAACAATTAATCATTTCTAACTGTTTACAGCCACAAATAGTTAAATAAAACGTAAAATTCACGTTTTTATTTAATTTATTTACAGAGGAATGCGTAATATATTACGTCAGGTTTTGTAATCTGCCTGAAGCTACGAAAAAACGTGTTAACGTGTTCGTCTTGCACGACTATTGATTTAAATCGCAATCGTGTTCGCACAAATTCTTCATGGGCGCGTAAATGCATCAAAACACAATACAAGTTTTGCATTTACATTTGTAAACGTTAAAAACGTTAAAATGTCGGTTAAACGTGCTAATGAAAAGTAATGACGACGTGTTAATGAATTAATTCTCCGCTGGACAAATAAAGAATAAATATTTCATACGCAGAGCGTCGATAATTGCTAAGATGGGTTGGGCGCTGAGTAAATACGCGAAACAGTCGTAATTTTTTGTATTTATCGTCTTCAAACGATATCTGAGTGTTCCTGTCACGGATTACTTAACTTGATTGGATTGCACAAACTGTGAACGTGCTAAATTCATTTAAATTACGAAAATTAAAAAATTTCAACCGAATATGCATTCATTAATTGCTTAGATTAAAAAAATTGTGTATAACGAAGTCAAACTGTAATTATGCAATAGTAAAACCAATTATTTCTCTTCATTGGATCCCATTGACATTCAGGCTGCAATTCACCAAACGAACAAAGAGACATTGATGCACAAATGCACAGAATACTTAATTAGTTTCGTTAAAGCATGAAGAAACGCAGCGAATCATTGAGGAATTAAATGATGCGTGCGTGATACTTGAAATTAAACTCTAAATGAAACTTTTATTAAATCAAGCGTATTTTTAACTAAAAACAAATTAATTTAATATAAAGATATTTATACCATATCCGCATATTGTATTATTTATTATTACATAAATATAAACATAAAATATTTGCATTCAGAGTGCGTTTCGGTGTCTGTGTGTGTTTGATTAGCATAAAACATTAAAGCCGTTCGATTCGCGCCGGCGTTTTAGATAAATATTTAACGAGAAAGTGTTTATATTAACCTGTTATGCATAAACCGACGAATTGCCAGCTCAGACTCCGACCACAGAACGCGAAATTCAAATGAAAATCTATCCGATTTATCTCCACGCGGTTGGATTTAACAATAATAGCTTGTTTTGTTGAGGAAGGACAGTGAATTCCGCAGTAACTTACCAATTGCAAGCACGTGCCATGGGCTATTATTAGCAGTGAACAAAAAACATGTTCTTACGGTTTCTGTATCGTTTGTTTAACAGGATTTCTTGCAAACTCATTATCAACAGTAAATGACGCAGAAATTTAATAATTTACGTCCTTGGTTATGTAAAACGGTTAAATATAAACAATTACTGTGTAATTCAATGATTAAACTATTAAAATGCATAAAAACATTAAAAATAAAACGAATAATTTGATTTTTCGCTTTTTTTGAGTTTTTTTCGTGAATTTAGCTCTTGTTCCATTTAAATGTCAGCCAGACGCCATTCTGGCGGTGTCGACAACGCTTTAATGCCTTTCGCTTTGTTTACAAAACATATAAACCTATCTTTCTAAGGCCAGTGGCGTAACCACACCATCAATACAACTGACTAGTGATGTTGGTTGCCTACGTTACGCACACATTCATGCGTATTAGGTTACAAAAAGTTTCCTGACACATAAAAGCCAAACATAGGTATTTATATTATGAATATTTGAGAGGAATACGTAATGAAGTTTCAAATATCGTTGTATGCCATCCGTGTTTTCACAATAAACACGTAGGCGATGCGTGAAAACGCCCTGCGTTTCATTTTATATGCTATTAACATTAACAGGTCGTTTTACACCGAAATACAGAGTGTGAACAGAATTATTTACTATTCTATAGGTGGACATGTGTGGGACACCTACTATAATGTATTGATTTGTTGCAAATCAGAAACGCAATAGAATTCAAGCCCTTCGAACACTCAAAACGATCACATTTCCTCGCATGATATTAAATGATATTAAATGATATCAAAGAACAACCTGAATATGTCGATGCACTTTGTTTTCATTTTAAACATGCACTGAAAACATTTTATTTTATTTTCTGTTTGAGTTTCTGAAGTTTCTGTTGATTGTGGTCTGGTGCGTGTAGAATGCAAATGCAGAATGTATCTGTTCGTTGGCTGTTCTGTTGTTGATTTGCGTCCGAGCTTTTGTTGCATTAACAAGTAGCGCGTGTCCAGCGTTTATTGCGTGCTGTTGACGGTCTCTTGGGAGCTTTCGCGCCGGCCAGTCGAAGGGGGCGGGTTGTTGAAGCACCATAATTCTGGATTCCGACCGCAATCGCGCTTCCAACTCCCCCGAGGGATGCACAAACGTTTTTGCCATTCGCAACATGGCTACAAATCTCGATTCACGAACATCGTTCACGAACAGTTCGGTCTGGTGTTCAAATTGAATCATGCTTAAATTTTGTACAAAAAAGCAAAAATTTAAAAGTAATTGTTTTATTTTTAGTTTAATGATTGTTTATTTAATTTTGTGATATTTTTGCAGGTCAATCCAGGGAGTAAAGCATCATTAAAAGGTGTACGCGAAGGTGACCTCATCACGTCGATCAATGGCCGCCCCACGAAGGAAATCACAAATTCCGAGGCGCACACCCTGCTGAAAAGCGCTGGGGATCGATTGGTATTAGGATTAAACGAGTAAGTTATTACAAAGTTAATATCTACAATTAAAACTAATTAAAACCACTAAATTTTAATTTTTTTAAGAGACTGCCAAAATTCTCCGAAACGAAGACAATACAAAACCATCCTGCATCATCATCGACAAGAAGTCGTACATGAAACATCAAAAACGTCAACATCTACCAGCCACACAACACTTTTCACCACAAATGATCCAAATTCATCCACTGGGAAACAAAATACATCAAATAACACTAATGGCGACCAAGTTAACATCGATGAAGATACACCAGATGGCGCTACAATACCTAAAACTAATGGCGTCGTAGAAATCAACGAGGTTTTCGAAAAGGAAGCGAAATCATGTAAGTTTTCACTCTCTGTATGTTTGTCTGGTGTGTGTTGCGCTTGGAGAAACAGAAGACACAACGATGCCATTGTTGTGAAGCACTTAAACGTTGACTCACGCCCTTAGCTATTAGCTCTGCCTCAAAGCAATAGAACATGTAACATGAAACAACGTCGGAGAAATACGTTTCAGTTGATTTCATTCTATTGAACAGCAAACAAACGAATTTATACTTTCTTCAGTGAAAAATGGATAAATTCATCTAGTAAAGGTTGAAATATAATGATTAAATTCAAGTGTGTGTCATTAAAACGCGGGAAACAAAAGATACAGACATTTTTAAAGAATTTACGACAAAGAAGACGAAGACGAAGTGAAGTATCATCTTCATCTTCATCTAGTTATTCCAATTATAATTTTAATACTAAAAATCATTATTTTAATAATTGGAGAGGATTAAAACCAGGTAAAATATTTTTTTATTATTTTTTATTGAAATTGATATTTATTATTTTAATTTGTTTATTATTGCTTGAAATTTAACGGACGATTAAATATATTTTGGGTACGGTTCATATCTGCGTCTCTAGCATAGATTAATCAATTAAATGTGATTACGTCAGGCGTGTTTAGCACAAAAACAAATATAGGTCAGGAGAACACACAACAAATTGAATTTTATTTATTTCGCTTTGCTTTCCGCCAGTTCCAATGCAATACTCATATAATTCAATTAACTAAAATTAATGGCTAAACAAATAAAAGGTACTGATATAAATTCAGTAGAATTTGCAGAATGAAAGGAGTGAACATTAATGGAACAAGGAGTGTTTTACCTTCGGTATATACAGAGTGTTTTAATCATTTTAACAAAAAATTTTAGAAAATAAAATTTTAAATGTTTTAAATGAAAACAAATAAAAATGAAGGTTTTTTTATATAATGACGTTTGAGGTTATGTAACACATTGTATAAACTATTCAGCAAAGCGCCGCACCCATCCTCTTTAAAGCTTTTATTCGATTCGCATTGTGTTGTGATATTTATTGCCTGCATGCGTTTGATTCGAGTACAAACTGCCATCAAGATATATTCCGATTCTGACATCGGTATTACCTGGTACCGGATGAGTCGATTTTGTCCACCTCATACACATGATACGTGTGCCTAAGTATTTAATTTGTTTACCGGCATTGAAAACACGCCACAGTTTTCAGTTCTGCTTCTATTATTCAGCGGTGTATGTGGACCAAATCGGATGGACGGTCACATGTGGTGATGCGCGCTGATCAAACACAATTAAAACGCCAACAATGGCCGCGGATAGAAAACGGAAATAATAGCCGATGGACGAGTCTTGGTAGGTGAGGTGCAGGGCATCGATTGAACATCAAAATCGAAATCGAATCCATCCGGCACCTCAGAGTGCGTCGTGCATGTCTACCTGTGTGCATCGCCAATCGAAAATTGCATTAAAAATTTAATTCCAGCGATTGAATCGACTCCAAACGTACGAAGAACAAATGGTTTAACATTTGCGAATAATACGAATCCATTTCGACAACCTGTGAGCCCTGGAGACTTGGATAAAGCATTGGAGAGTGAATACGAGAATTTTTTCGAGCAACAGGAGGTTGACGAGACGCCGTGCGTGTCAACTGCGACGCCGACGCCAACATCAGCAGCGACACCTACCTTAACACCCACTTCAAGTCACTATTCTTCCGACACAAGAGGTAATTGTCTTATTTGCTAGCCACACACTGCACAATATACACTCAGATGAGACTAATGCTACATTTCCGTTCGAATAACGCGCCCATCGTATTTATAACTATATTTAAACTTAACATACCGACTGAAGGACGCCGTTTAAATTTAAATTTACATTTAGCAATGTGTTCACAGTTATTCACAACTTGTTATTCATTGATGCACTTATTAAACATGTCGTGTTTTTTTTCCTCAAGGTTAGAAGATATCATATTTTCGTTTTTTTTGCTGGTTTAGTTGCGAAATGTAAAAAATTTTAAATGCGGCACTTGTATGTGTGCGTCTGATATGAATGGCTATTACGTTATTACGCGCGTGTTCCGCAATATTTGCTTGCCATGATCACGATCAGTTCGTGTGAGTTAGGTAATGTGGCGCGGTCGTTCCATTATTAGTTCCCGGCGACACACAGCGCTTTTTATTTTGTGAATCGCGAGATCATCCGAAAATCCGGCGGCGTCGCGACGGTCATTACTATAATATTAACCTTTCAGTGTGTGTGCTAACGAACGCGGTCATTATTTAGTCGCCAGTGAGAGAGTGAGAGAGAAAAAGTGCGAGAACAGATTTTTTTCCTGTTGCTGTAGCTGAATATACTTATCATTGTGTGGCACGTGTTTATGATTAGTATCTCGCAAACAATACACACTAATTGCTGGCGCTGAGTGAATTTTTTTTTGATAACGTTTGAAATACGCGTTTCCAGTTTTATTTTTAACTCGCTGTGCAAATGAACATGTCGTGTGTTGTGTTTTCTACATACCAGGAGTAGGAGAATTGGTGCACGTGCGTGAAGCGACCTATTTTCGCGAAAAGGAAGAGGAAGGACACGGGGATATGCCTCAACGAAAGAAAAACAGACATAGAAAGAATAAAAAGTCACATTCTGGGCAGCAACAAGTTGATAAGACTCCAAAACCAAGTAATAATGAAGCACTACCTCAGAAACAATCAATTGAACGAAAGAATTTTGAGAAAAGTCGTTTGCAACATGTAGAAATTGAAGAAATTGTTACTCCGAGCATATCCACATCAAATAGCAGTGATAATATTTCTGTATATAGAGTTGAGTCACCAAAATTGGGTGCAAAAGATAATTTCTGCATCTAACTCATCAAAGGGGTTAGTAAATTCTGAGAAAACTTCAATCCCCATAGCAAAAAGTAAAAGTTTAGATGATTTAGACTCGAATTCTGTAAATATCAAAATCACAGAATTAAAATCCGGAGATGAGTTGAGTGATGATGATGTTAAAGTCCTCGCTAGTAATGAAGCTTGCATATCCGAAGCGGAAAGTGATGTAGAATGGGAAGTAACTGAAGATTTAGACACAGAATCTCCAACTAAAGTTGGTTCTAAACTGAGTTCCCAAGAAGAAGATCAATTGAGGTATTTTATTGATAAATTAAACCTCCCTGGAGCATCAGGGGCTCGTGTGGATACAGATGAAGAAGATGTAGAATCTAGATCAAAAGCAGCACGTAGTTCTTCTGCAATAAGACAAAAACGTAATGAACGACGTCAACTAATGCAATATTTTACTCCTATTTATGATAATGCACGATACCTGGAAGCTATCTCCGAAGAAACTCTAGATCAGGATAAAATGATTCCGAAAAGTAAAACAAACAGTTCTGAGGAGATTATTAACGTTGTGCATGTAAATACAGGTGTTATAGAAAAAGGTAAAGCTGAAGTTGTCATTCTGGATTCATCTTCAGGTGATGATGAAGAATCGGAAACCTCAGAAGACTTAGAAATGAGTAATTCTGAGCAGAAAACACCTCCACCTACTCCAGATAGTTCTGAAAGCTCCAAACAATATGTAGAAGAGATTATTAAAGATATTGTGATTGAAGAAGAAGAAAAAGAGTCAACGAAACATGTGGAAACTTTCGAAATAACTGTAAAGAAAATATATGATCAAAATACCAATGATCAACTGAACCTGAACAAAACATAGACACAGAAATTGCTGTAGTTGAGCAAAGGATCCACCAAACTGAATTGAACATTGCCCATGACCAGGAACTCATTGATCAGTTACAGAATTCTTTGGAAAAAGACCAGAAAGAGATTCTAGAAGCGCAGGAAGAGATTGAACACATGAAATCATTCGAGAAGGAATTTAAGGAAGTTCTGAGTCAGAAACAAGTGTTTTCTCCAAAGCGGACTAGTAAAGAACGTTCTACGTCTAGGAGTAGTGAGTCTTCGAATTCTTCAATTGGAACAACGGTGGTATTGAATCCTTCGTTAAAAGATATGGCAGCTATCACTGCAGAAGCGGAAGAAGCAGCAAAACAGACTGCAAAACGGAAGTTGAAGAAGACTTGCAGAAAATTGAACCATTGAGTTTGAAAGAAAGTTGTTTAAAACTTTTGGTTGACCTTCCTTTCGGACAAGATGCCCTTGAAGAACTAGCAACGGTTTCTAACAGTTTGAAGGAGTTTACTGATAGTTTACTTGCTTCAAAATCTACAACCTCGATCTCTTCAATGAATAAAGTTCTGACTACGAATATTGTTACAGAAAGCAACTCCAAACAGGAAATAAACTCGAATGAAGTTATAGAAGACCAAAATGGCGTTAACATCATCTCGAATACATCAAAAGAAGAATTGAGAAAAACAACAAACGAATCAGAAACTATAAAAGAAGAAATGGTGATACAGAAAGTAGTAGACATCACCGGAAGTAAAAAATTATTAGATATAATCATAAAAGAAAAGCTGAACAATCCGGAAGTTTGCGTGGAGCCAACGAATTTGATGGATTTGACGAATTTGGAAGAACTTCGCCGATTGCATGAAGCACGACTCAATGCTAAAGATAAGTCCGAGTGGCTGCAATTGGTGCGTACGTCACCAGCGGTGCCAAAAAGACAACTTCCGCGCGAGTCGGAAAACTGGGTCAACGACGGCAAGAACTCCGCAAAGCCGCGTACGCCACCCAAACCGGCGCCACGACGCCGACGGTCGCTCCCGCCTGAATTACAAGTCAAACAAATGCAATATTTAATCGAGAAAGAGAAACAAATTCAAGCACAGTTTGACTATGTCGAATCTGAGAAACGCAAGTTATTGAACGAAATGTTAACACCACGTGCTTGTAATGTCAAGAAAACAAGACCAACATCATTACCACCACAGGAAGAGTTTCGACAGAGAATGTATGAAGAATATCGCCGACAACTTGCCGAACGCGAAGAGCGTAAGTCCCAGAAAGTTATCAAGATATCACTCAATGAAAACGAAGAAGTTTTGTCGCCGGCTATCAAAATGGCGGACTTTAATGATATTCAGAAAGAGTTTATGGATATTGTTAATGAACGCAGGCAACAAAATGGAAATCATGCTAATCACAAGGATAGTCGTGAGTCAAGTGCAGAGAAGTCAGATAATGATACAGTGTTAGTTTTGGACGGGGTTGAGTTACGTGCGAAGAAAGTACCAAAACATTTACAAGAGTTTCTAAGCAATACAGGAGAACAAAATGGACATAGTGAAGAGTATGATTCTGGTGATGGTGACGGTGAGTGCTCGGTGTGAATTCTCAGCGGCTGTTTTCGCATTTTAAAATCTCTCGCTTTCAATATCATCGCTTTGTTTTTCATGTTGGTTTTTTTAGTGCGAGCGTGTGTCGTAAGTTGCCTACAGTCACGAGTGAAATTTTTCAAATTATTTTCAATTCTCAATGGCCGCATGGCTAAAAATACTCTTTAACACGATTAATTTTCGACACAGAGGAAAACAACAAACTTTATTCTCATACTCGTAACTTGGAGATGATGAAGTTTGAGGATATAAGCAGGAATAAAACCGAACGTCGTGTTCGACGTATAACACGCTGCTTGGCAAGGAATCGTCAATCGATGGGCCGTTTTGAAGGATTTCAGGATTTATTGCACGAGATTGACGAATGCTTAACATTGGCTCGAGGGTTTTTGTTTGCTAAGGGTGGAGGTATACAATTAAAACTTGTAACGCTCATAATAGCTTACGTTTCTAACCTTAAAATATGCTTGCGCACAATTTGAGTGTTTTTAGCACAGGAAACGCGTCGGCGTGGATGAATTATGCACGGTGATTGAGTAATATTCAGGCCATCGGTAACATACTGTTGTTCACCGCAATAACAAACACACATTGAAAATATTATCAGCTACGTGCACGACCTTGACTTAATCATTAATCCACAAAAAAAATCCGATTGTTATTTTTTGTGTCATTGCATACGTTGTGTTGAAATGCGTGTAAAAAAGTTTTCTACTTGTTGAAAACAGTGTTTTGGTCGGCTGTGGGTGCCGTTGAGATTCGTTACAATTTCTAAATTTGTATACGCGGCGTTTCGCTTTAATTTAGCTCTCATTTGCCGTCTTTTCCGCTCGGTTCCGAATGCATATGTTGGTGTAGCGTCGCGACGCGCACGGTGTGATATTTTTACATTTACCACATGTTAACATACAGAGTGTGGCAGAAAACAATCAAAATCATTAAAAATACAACAAAACTAAAGAAATTAAGTAAAAATTTTGTTTTTATTCATAAAAAAAATTCAAAAAAAATTAGTTTTATGAATATTTGAAGGAAATTTTCATTTTTGAGGTTTATATTTATTGTTGCCTGTTTTCGATGGCAGTTTGCAGGTTGCGGCCGTGGAAAACCTCAGTGCATGCCGTGCCGGCGGCCGCGACGTTTGATTTTCCACATTTTCATTTCAATTCGGCGGCGAAAATAGCGCGCGCGCGCTCCACAAACAAATCTCATCCGAATGCATTAATTCATTGTTTATCAATTAAATGAATCGTGTCGTGATTGTTTCCTGATTGTGCTTCGATATGATTACACCAGCGCCGACGTTTAAAGCCACCGCTCCAAATCAAGGTTAAAATCACACGTTTGCCCTTTTGTTTTAGTGATAACAGTCTGATAACACTTTTATTTCTACACGAAACGTATTGTTTAAAGTCTAAATTTAGTCTGGTTGTGATGTTTTAATGTGCGATGCCTGGCGTATGTAAGCAAAACGCTAATTGCAAAAATTCTAAATTTAAATGCTTTTATACGCCGCCGTCGATGGTAATCTCGCCTGCTGCAAACGTTTTCATCATCACATCGACAAATGCATTACGAGTACTGTAAACGCAAACATTAGTATTTGTATTCGTATTAATGTGTGTTTTTTTGTAACACTCAGTATATCAGGTGTCGGTTTCAATTTTCAACATTTTACTTTTTCATGAACATAAATGTCTTGATAATACTTGTGTTACCTGTTGTACCACTGCCAATTTTGAAAATTATGACAATTAACATAACCTATTCTAACCTCAAAATCATATATTGTACATATCGCATGCACACACATGAAAATTATTAAATTTTTATCCATTTTGTATGCATGTGCATACTAAAAATTATTCATAACATTTTTTCGTGATTTTATTGTTTAATTTATTGTAAAATTTAAAAATAATTTGATTTTTTGCAGGTATCTGGAGTCCCGGCCAGAAATCGTCCTTTGATCGGACAGAATTACAACGAGAGTCAACTCAACTTACATCGCAAGAATCTTTACGTAGTGACGATAACGTTGCGCCCATTTGGACACCGAAAAGTGCTGGTTCTTCGCCAACGCCAGAGCGTAAAGAATTTCGTCCGGTTAGCTTCGAATCGCCTGTTCTGCAGCGTAAAAATCGCACAAAATCAGATGTAAATGTGTTTTATTTTATTTATAATATAATTATTATGATTTTGATTAATTTTAGGGTTCTGCTAATGCTGAACCACCATGGAACAAAGATATAAATAGCAGTGTAGACGAGAAGAAACTTCCGACTAGCCAATCAGCGCCCGGACCTGGTTTCGGCGCTGATTTCAGCCCACGACTTCCGAAAGCGCAGAATCCCACCATTACCCTACTGCAGAAAGCTCGCGAAGGGCAAATACCGCCGAAGAGTGCGGTTTACATCGAACAGGATCGCGCACGGAGGAAAAACGAATCGCCTTATAACTCACAAAACGATTTAAGTAAGTATATCGTTATATATGCAGCCAAATACACAATATTTGTATTATATAGTATTACCGACTATTTAGGCAACCAATTATACATTTAATATTAAATTTTCATTGCAGTATATAACTTACGAACCGAATCTATAAGTGATTCGGATAGCGAACGTCCGAAACGTGTTGTGCATCATCAGGTGAGACAACCCTACGAAGGTATAGGCCCTACGACAACTCATGGCATGCCCGTCGGTTTGAGATCCGTAAATATCATTTGTATTGTTTAATTGTTAACATAATCATGCAAAACATCGTAAAATTAATTTTATGATTTTTTAATTTTTTTATTAATTTAGGAAATCCGAGATGCTAATATGACACATTGGTACAAACGGATGTACGAAACGATACACAAACATCGCCCAAGCAAATACGACGACGGTAAATATTAATTCTTCTCAATAATAACGTAAAATTTCATTACAAGACAATGAAACGTTTGAGTTTTTCTTTTTTCTATATTTTTACAGAAGAATACGTGACGATTCGTTACAAACAACGAAATCGAGGTAAATAAATCACATTAATCAATAATTAATCAATATAATTTGTATTCATATTAAATTCTAAGAAGAAATCAGTGAAATATGTGTTTATTATCGCATGTTACGATGAACTCGACCTCTGTTATGCGTTGGTGATAACATGCGATGAAATATTCCAGCTCGACAACCTTTCGCGACCGGGTACCTCTCAGAACCGGAAGCTGGTGCGTACGACAGCGACGTAGCCCTCTCCGACGACAAGTACGCCACCCTAGATCGTCGGCGTACCAATCCCTACGGTGGGAGCTCGTCAAACGTCGCTTTTCAAACCGATCCAACTGTTTATAATCGCTACGCGTCTTATTCTACAACAACTCTGCCGAATTCAGTCAACAAACCAAAAACTGCTCTCAAACCAACGTCTTCTCTACGAAAACGTGAGGAAGACACAACAACTATAAGGTAATTATTAATATTTTGTTTATTATAGATGATTAAATTTTTATTTGTTAATTTTAAGATATAAACCGCAAGTTCAACAGACGCAAAGTGCTCTTCAATTGAATAAACCCGGAAAGATTGAGAATTACACACCTGGGAAGTCGTCAATCAGTGAAAGTGAAGCTAAAAAGGTAGATTTTTGTGTTTTTATGAATGTTATCGCTAGTTTTTATTTTGGAGCTGTTTTATTACATTTAGAATTTTGTTGTAGTGGTGGGACGAAGTCATGGACATATTCGATGGGGTAAATCATAAAATTTGAACATTTTTCTGTTGGTTTTGTTTGAGCTAAGCGTTGTTTTCTCTAACATATCATTATATTGAAGTGCAAATGTGTGTCTAATGTGTCTAACTTGGTTGTGGTTTTTGTGTTTTGATTTTTGTGCGCTCGTCGATTGGCACTGCTTGTAATATACTCGTAAAAGTGGCTGGACGATCATTCGGCTATAACGTGTCCATCGCGTATGAATCCATATCATATTGCTCGTCAGAATGCTGTAAGGATGATAATTTTGTGTTCCACTTTAAAAAAAATCAAGAAAATCATTTTTGCACAAAAAATTTTTCGAGAAAAATTTTTTTAACATGGAAACTAATATTTTAGATGGAGAAACAACAATTACAACAACAACAGCAGAGACAGAAGGTACCCTTAGTACAACCAAAAGGATATTTAAGCCAGTAAGTCTATTTTTCCAAAAAATTTTTTCCAAAACTTTGTTTTAGAGCTTTGAAAGAATCTGGATATGAAAGTGATTCTACCCTGGTCTTCCGTCGTCGTGATGAAACCGCCCAGCAGTTGAACCCTCATGAACAACGTGAGGTTTACAAAATAATCCAAAAAGGCGGAGATGTCCCCCTGCACGGCCTACGAAAAGTTGTCCCAGACAGACCTAAAGGTAAGCTATAATTGCTGCAATCGCTTAGATTTAGACTTAGATTATTTTAATCTCGAAACATAACAATTTGTTGGTGCGGCTTTTGGTGGTGGTCCATAATCTTGAGTAATTTAGTAATCTTTAGTGTTTACTGTGTGTAAATTGAATTCAATGTGTGACTAACATGTTTACGCATGGCCAAAAGTAAAACAACATACGTAGGTCATAAAAAACAACACAAACAACACCGTACAACGTTTCTTCTTCAACATGTTTTTGCAGAATTCGCACAAGCACAACTATCAAAACCCTCAGCATTCTTTTGATAGATTATTTGATTTTCTAGAGGATACACACACGGAATACATGCCTATACGCAGTAGAAGTTCAAGCAAAGATAAAGAAAGGGAGCAGATTGTTTGTTTTCCGGTTTTGACTACGTTTGATAATGATACTTTTGCTGCGTATAAGAGAACAGCTCCTTCAAGTCTGTACAAAAGAGATTCTACTAAACCTGTTCTGGATGACAGTAAAAAACGGGTTTCTGTTAAACCAAAACCTCCAAGTCCACCAAGACGTAAATCATCAAGGAATAATTCTACTTTGCGGATGATACACACTGTAAAAACTCCGAAATCTACTAAATCCAACTCTCCAGCTTCTTCATCTGGTACCAATCGTCATGAAACTTGTTTTTCGCCAATTCCGAAACCTCCGAGCAGTGTTAAAAGTTTACGGGAAAAGATAACAACTAAATTGTCACCTGTACAAGTGAAAACTGAAGAAAAAATGAAGAAACGTGTTCCCCTGGTTAATAAATGTTACTGCACTCGGAGTAGACCTTGCTCCAAGTGTAGGGATAAAGATACCAAAGATAAGTCACCTGTAGAAGTGAAAAAAGCTGTGATGAAGCAAATAAGTGCTATGAATGGCAGTAACAGTGCTACGATTTTGGCGAAAATCAATGGATCACGTAAAACACCTTCAAAATTACCCAATAAAATAGGTGGATCCATTGCAGGATCAAGGAGTACCCTGAAAAGTACCTCGATGGATTCACTTAAGTCAATTAAACAGATAAAATCGCCAAAATCAAAATCAACCTCCAAAAGTGTTTTAAAAGAAGATTTGAGTAAGAAAGTATTGAAAAAGACCAAATCCAAGAAGGAGTTGTTGAATACCCAAGTGAAATCATCTGGTAAACCTGTAAAAGCACCCTCAAAAGAGGTTATGGTAGAAAAAGTTGCCTACGTTCCCAAGGCAACTGAACTTATCAAACAACAACCTGAAGGTTTCTTCCAACAGTTATTTTTTGGTCCCAATTATCCCCTGAAACAACCATCGGAGATTATTCCTTTTGTTTCTTCAGTTGTAACACGGAGAATCTGTGATCCTACTTTGGGAGCTCTAAAAAGATACTTAAGTCATACTAAACCAGTGAGTGAATCACGTTTCAAGTATTTGGATATGGTACGTTCCAGATCCAGTAGTCCCAAGTCCATTCAATACAATGACACTACCCATGAAAGAAGTATAAGCCTACCACCAAAGTTGATCTTCACCCAGACAAGTCGTCCCGTCACACCAACATTTGAACGTAAAAGATTATCAGTCTACAAACCACCAGAATCTCCAAGAATTGAAAAGTTGATTTTTTCACAAACGTCAAGACCTGTTTCTCCTGTGGTGGTAAGAAGAGCAACTACACCTAGTTCCATTGATGGTTCTTGGATATCTTCAAGGTGTCCCAGCCCAAGTGAGACTCTGTACTTTTCTGAAACATCCAGACCCGTATCACCTGTAATATTACAAAGGGTACCACCACGTCCCCCAAGACCCATTTCACCAGTATACAACCCCCCGGAATCTCCCAAGGTTATAAGGTCACCTTCTTATAGGAGAATCAAACAGAAACGATCAAGACCTCATAGTACCGAGATAATGACCAACAGATCTGAAAGATTTAAGGAGTTAAATAAATTCTATCAGGATCTGGAACGTGTGGGACAACTGGAACGCACTTCATCTTCAAGTGATCTACGTCCCAGGCGTAAATTCGAAGAGGAGATCATTGATTACGATCGCTGGCAGGAGGTACGTCAACGTGAGCGTGCTGAACGTGAACTTACATCCCTCTACAGACAACTGAAACAAACTCAAGAGGAGCATGATTTTTTATTTAGAACCAAACCTTTGTGCAAATGGCGGCGTAATTTGGATCGCGGATTGCGGATCAAAGAACGCTCTGTGGAGAATCTCCGTGAGGAATTCGAGAAAATCCGCAAGGATCAAATTGAAAACGAGCGGAAGTTGAAAGAGGAACTTAATATTAAACGAGGTGTGTACAAGTCTCTATGGAGAGGTAACTCTGTGGTGAATCTAGCACATACCTTGAATGATTCTCAAAGGTCCCAGTCTGAATCCCGAGCTTCTGTTCGTGAGAGAATCTCGGAGAATGAGAAATTATTGACGCATGGTATTGGTAGTCGTATCTGGAGCAGTTTGTCAATGGAACAAGTGAATATTTTGAAAAATCAACTCACGGAAATTTATGGGAGTGATAATCGTTTTTCGAAGACTAAAACACCAAGTCTAAGTCTACCTAGGAAGAACACCATTGAAGTAGCACTTGATAAAAACAAACCTCCAAGGGAGTTAAGAGTGAGGAGGAATTCAGATACCATACCATCAAAAGAACACAAACCTATTGAAAAGAGCAAAAGTGCTACTTTGGTTGGTAAGGTTATGAGTGAGGAGGAAAAGATGAGGATATCACAATCGTTATCAAAGGAGATATTAAATATCCACTTTCGGAATACCAGGGATAACGTAATCAAAGCAAAGGAGACTTTGGGAGCTGTTGCTGCTGCAAATGCACAGTTATCCGAAACTTCTTCACCAAGGACCTGTTATTCCCTAGAAATGTCTGAAGATGAAAAAAGGTCGGATTATCTTCTAGTTCTTACCAAAAATGATTCCAAAACATACAAGGATTCAATCAATGACACTTTAGAGGTGTGGGCTAAACCCAAACCAGTTGAACCTCAGATAAAAACGGATTGTCTCACTTTGAAACACCAAAAATCTGAAACAGAAAGCACCAGCACCGACGGATCAACAAAAACAGTCATTTTTAATGACCCAGGTGCAAAGAAAGATAAAATCAAAGAAAAGGTGACTTATTTTGAGAATAAAGACAAAGAAGAATACACACCTACAATTTACAAACCCTCTGATGAACCTGCTGATGACTTAGGAGACACTTTACTGTTCAGATCAAATTTACCAAGGTCCCAGTCCAATCAGGACTTACGGGAACTTTTCGGAGAGTCCCAGTTGAACCGGATGGCAACAGAACCTTTATCCGCTAGCCGGAAGTCAAAATACACTCGTCCACGTTCCCCGGTTCTTCGCAGTTTGTTCCACAGAGCTAAAAGTTTGTCCCCACATCGTAATGCAATCAAAGTAACAGATTTGAAGAAAAAATTTGAAGGTTACTACAATCAAAGGTATGCCCTACCTCCAAGACGTTGTGCAAGTGATCCCCAATTGAGTAAACTCTTCCATGATGGTGAGAAAGTGAATGAATTACGTTCCAAGTTTGAATATCCGAAGATATCCGGTAGGGGGCGCAGCAGGGTCCGGAAATCCGGTCTGATAAGTTCCGCTTGTTTGAGGGCTGAAGATCGTTACATGCCTCATATTAATATCATCAGTAAGATAGCAACACTTTATCCAAAGACCCACCGGAAGGAAACTTCAAGGAGTTCGGAGAATTTAGCGAAGATTTTGGGTATACCAGTTGGAGAAGTGCATAAACTCCGGGAACGTTTTGATGCCGCAGATAAACAGATGTCCATTCTGGGTCACATGTTCACCTCATCGCCGAATATCAACGAATTACGTGATGTGGCCCAGTATTTAACCGGAAGTTGGTACGCACATAAACATCCCAAAGCTGAAGAAGGTGATGTGGTACCTAGAGTATTAATAAGACCGAAATCAGCGAGTCCACCACGACACAAGAGTAAACTGGCGTCCATTTTGAAACTCCCAGTACGTCGACGCACACCGACACAAAATGGCCGAAGGAATATCCAAGATGTACTCACCCCGTTCAGATCATGGTGGACGCCATCATCAGCGAAGCATAGTGTGCATTTTAAAGGTTTGAAGAAATTACAGAGCAAACACAACTAACGCTTAGCTAAAGAGCAGTTTAGATAATATAGTGTAGAGTTAACCTAGAAATATGTATAGAAACGAATAGCAACGAATGTTATTTATATGATAGAACCCGAGGGGCCACCACCACCGCCACCTAGCGTCGAACATGATCCGGAAACTCAAGAAAATAATACCAATGTGGACCTGAATGCAGGTAACAGGAGAATATAACAAAATAACAGACAAAATACTAAAAAACATTTTTTGCGATTTTTTGACGAATAATTCGGTAATATTTCGATAAGATAATATCCTATCTTATCAGATGATTATTACGGGTATGAATGTTTATATAATTGAATTTAGTTTTGATTGTTCAACATATTGAGCGGAAGTGAGTCAAAATGGTGTCAAGTGATGAAAAACGAAGAAATCGTTACAGTTCGTACCATGAACCGGTGAATCGTGACAATAACTCTAATAATCATACTAACCTGGATAATGATAGGCTGAATAATCGAAAATCGTGGTTATTGAACGGAAACAATTTACAATTTTATGTGCCACGTCCATATCGTACGTATTCACACATTAAAATCATGTAAAAATGGGAGAAAAATTAATTTCCGCAATTCTGTTGAAATCAAAAGTTTAAACGTTTTAATAACCTGTCCGCAGGAGAGATATTTAAAGTAAAAGTGCACGAGTGAAAGTTGCACAGCCTCCAGAAATGATTTGAAATTTTAATGCACGATTGATTCCTCTCTTGCGGCGAAAGAGAAATTTCGGTTCGTGGCCGAACCGACCAAGCGGAAATGATGCTTTATTTCGTCTCTGCATAATTTTAATCTTAATAATAAAACAACCAAGGCCAGAAAACAATGAAGTAATTAATTAAGTTAACTGTGCTTAAGTTAAGTCTAAGATGCGTGTTTCGAAAACAAACTGTTTCTTGAGGTCACCGCAGAATACCGCAATTCTGCAAGACTTGGAACGGTTTGTTTGTTTATTTTTTATTTATTTATTGACAAGTGTTACTCGTACAAGTCACAGTCAGAGTATGTGGAGTTATGTGAAAGTCACTTTAATGTCTACGCAGCGCCTTTGTAAGTCACAGTTTTGTTCGGTTTTGTGCTCTCCTCCTCTTCTGTGCTTCTTGCACATGTGCGCACACCGCAATTTCTCATTCAACAACAACGACCACAACGCTGACGACGTTTGTACATAGTAAAAGTAGAAGTTGTAACAGTTTTCTCTGAGCATCGTCACTGTTCGGTCGTAGACAATACAAAAATTAATTTATTTTCAAAGAAAAATAATTTACAATGAGTTTGGTGTTGAGTAACATCTTGACTAACATTCGTAAGTTGTTTATTGTATAAATTATGAGAATAATGTTAATTATTCGGTGTGAATTTTTAATATTTTTAAAATTTGTGGTGGATTTTTATAGAGTCACCGCGTAAGTACGTCGAGAATGAGGTAACCATCCATTACCGGACACCGGTGCGACAGGAAGTAAAGGAAGAAGTGGATGAGCATGTGCTCGCTCGACAGCAGGCGGATGCCATGCGGAAGATCTACGAGAAGGACAGACAGCGGAAACATCAGCAGGTTAGCAGTTATTCGGATAATGTAAGTCAACGAGTGGATTTGTCTTGGTTTTGAGTTGGAAGAAGTTTCGTTTGCCATTTTCTTCAACAAAAAAAATTTTAATTTAATAACTAATAACTAACTTTACAAGCAAAAAAAAAGAGAAATTTGTAATTATTCTCGCTGACAAATGGAAACCACAGCGCCATGAAGAGTAGACATGTTTGTGACACGATTTGATTTGATGTTTTCTCTTCGCAGCGTTTCTAAATTTCATTAAAATGGCAACGTTTGGCTTCCACTAAACATAAACATCAAATAACAAATTTACTTTTGACTTATCCTACTACTTAACTTCATAAAACAAAAGTTTTAATATATTTTTCCCAAAGGAATTGCTTGATAGAAGAAGCAGACGTCATACAGACAATTTCACACCCTCGCAGAAATCACCGATTCCCCTGAATCGCTACGATGATTTCATCGAGGAAATGTCATCCCGAATGAAGTCACGTCCACGTTCACCGGAACCCCGCCTTGTTGCACGTGCAGTGTACAACTTCGTGGGTCAATCCGCACGTGAGCTAACCTTTAAAAAAGGCGATGTTATCTTTGTCCGTCGACAAATCGACAAAAACTGGTACGAAGGTGAGCTGAACGCCATGATTGGTTTATTCCCATCCAACTACGTCGAGATTGTACCTTATGAAGGTATTAAAACAACCACTCGACGTGCTAATGAAGGACAAGCACGTGCCAAGTACAATTTCATAGCACAAAGTCATCTGGAGTTGTCTCTGGCGAAAGGAGAACTCGTAGTGGTGACACGCCGTGTTGATGACAACTGGTACGAAGGCCGTATTGGTGGACGCAAAGGGATCTTCCCAATGAGTTATGTAGAGATGTTGGTTGATCCACAAGAAGCTCCCAGCCTACCATCAAGCAAACCTGTTGCTAGTCCAGCAGCGCATTCAATGCTCCTCAATGGAAGCTCAGGTGGTAAGGAGTCAATGGGTACACATAACTATGTACCAACATTTCCTACACAAGATCTTGGTATGAGCTACCGGGCGAAACCAGTGCAGATCACCGATGCAGGCACCTATGGCTCCCTGAAGAAAAACCCAGTTGAACAGGCGCTGCATATTGACATTCAGAATGATCCTGTACCGTAAGTAGAATATTTCTTGCTATTTATTATGAATTATCTACTGATGAGGTTATGTTTGTAGATACAAAGCATTATACAAGTATCGTCCACAAAACGAAGACGAATTGGAGCTGTTGGAAGGAGATGTGGTACAGGTGTTGGAGAAATGTGACGATGGATGGTTCGTTGGTACCAGTGAACGAACTGGTGCATTCGGCACCTTCCCGGGAAACTACGTGGAGAAGATTAACTAAAACTGCAACCAATATTAATTGTAGATGTATTCACGGTTTGAGAATCTAGTCATCGGCCAAATACTGTTAGAGTTATTTATTCGAGGTGGCAGGACAGGAGATTTGAATTTTAACACGAATTGTTCTTCCATATACACAAGCATGACCTTGAGCAACGGTTGCGAAATATTAACAGACTCTCACCTCTGGTGCCTTTGATGTAATGTCGTAATTAATCAAGAATAACAAGTTATACTCGAACAAATCACGATGGTATTTTGCGTTCTCGTTTTTCTTTCGGTTTCATCATGTAAACATGTAAAGTAGAAGATATTAATTAATTAATATATATATATATATAAATTGCATATTGTTGACATCAGTTCATTAGAAATTAATGTTAGTCGATTGTAAGAGATTCAGATGCGTTTGTTTTTAGTGATTGTTATATTTTTGCGTAGATATTATTTATTCAACTAACGCCATCACAGCGAATCGTGTATTTTGCTCGCGATTCGTGCACACTGTTTTGTTAAATAATTCTATTCTAGTGCATTCAAAGCAATTTATTAAAATAAAAACTAAACTAATACGGGATGTTTATTTTTTCGCTGAAATTTCCAGTGGTACCATTTTGATCTTTTTCACTTTCTGCATCACTATGACCTTCTCCTGTTTGTTGACTTTCAACTTCATCAATCGTGGTTCAATCATCCTGACGTAATTCGCTGGTGCAAAACCTTCAGTTCCGTCTGCCTTACGTACACACCACCAATCCGCGTTGTTCTTACTAGTTAAAAACATCACCTCTCCTTTGACAATCGAAAAATCATCTTTACTATACGGAAACAAAGCTTGTACCTGTGGAATCTCCCTTTCTGTAAGCACCAGACGATTTTCCAGCTTCTCAACTGGTTCCTCTTCGTATACTTCAACCGGAACCATTTTGGTTTCATAACTTGCCTCTTCCACAGGTTTATCAACAGCTGTTTCAGGAGTCTGATTCAAATTGGACACCCCGGGTGCGTCTTGTCCTTGTCCTTTACTTCTAGACTTTATACTGTTTAATATAATGTGTAAATCATTAATTTGATCCAGAAGAGCCTGGCATTTGGGTTTGTCTGTATTATAAGCTTCATTTTGTTTTAAAGATGTATCGTCTTGTAAACGCGTTGTTGTTGTTTTATCAGTAGCAATATGTTCTTCAATCTGCGTTGGATGCTGATTCCGCTCTGCTTTCTCGTTCTTCATGCGAGCGAATGTATGGTAATAGGATGCCACATAGGTGATGATACTTTTTTCATCTGGTCGACTCGTATCGATATCTGCAGAATCCAGCAGTCGTGGAATGCCGAGCTCGTTGTTGGCCACGTCGAACGCATGATTCAGATTGTCTATGTGCGAGTTTGGTGCCAGTTTTTATAGTCAAAGAGTTCCGGCCGATGGGCATGGATGAGCGCATTGAAACCCAAACCACTTCGCCACGAACCAGAAAAGTCGTTGATGTTGACGCCGGAATACCCGTGCGTCTTTCGTTGCACCCACAGCAGTAACGCATCTTTGGCAGATTTCTTCTCGGAGCTTTCGCTCTCCTCATCCACGTCGATTTCGATCTCTTGGATTTGAAACCGCAGAATAATCGTCCATATTAAACCCAACACCAGAGTGGGAATACCATCAACGATATCCTCGGCTCCTATACTCTCCAGTCGCACTTTGGTATGCAGAAACGCTAAGCTTTTGTTCACATTTTCGAGTTTATGTAGGCGCAAGCTTCCCTTATTTGGTTTGGGCAGTTTCTCGCCGGTGATTATCTCGAGAAGTTTATGCAATTTTTTACCGTCGGCGAGGTCCTCGAAGAGGTCCACCACCTCCATGCGAGCCTGTGAATTTTTCAAATAATAAACAAACAACCTATTCATGCATATTCAAAGACTTCACCAACCTTTTGCAGAATTGAATTGATCCATTTCGTGAATGTTTTCTTTTGTATATGCAAGCGTTCCTCTTGCAGGACTTTAATTCGTCCCGCTTCGTACTTTTGCACGTCGTGTCGCTGCGTCATAATGTTCAATATCAATGTAGAATTGTCACGACTGTAACTCGTCATAATCGAAATCCAGATAAGCATTTGTCAATCGTTGATATCTATAATCCGAATGTTATCACTTTATTTTCAATTTGCCGACCTTCAACGAGCATTCTCAAGTATGAAATAATAAAAACATTTATTTAAACATTTGTCACCTCACAAATCACGCTCGATTTTTATTTCATCTGTGCATTATCATAAACTACACAAAACTAACATCATCTGTTTCGGGTAAGTTTACCACGCGTCATACTCAAACAGATATAAATCAGCTGTTGCTAAACTGTTGCTATTTGCAGGCGGTATGCAACAATGCATAAATAATTGAGCACGTCTTGTATCAATATTGGTATATGTATTCTTGGCGTGCAAAAATGATGCTCGAATGAATGTTATTAACGTTATTTACGCTGGTTTTAGCTTTTCACCTTGCGCAATATTAATTCAACGATTGCAGCCTTGATTTCTTTTCGTTTATTTAGATGTGTGCATTTTTTCAGCCACGCACAGTTGGTGAAAATGTTTTTCCGACGCGTGATGTGCTCCCAAGTTGTATTGAACAATGTTAAAAACTTGAGAAACTTTCGAAATTTAAGAGTGACAAACGTCGGATTCGCTCAGTTTAGAGGTAATGTTATTTATTATCATTTAAATAAACTGAAAATGAACCTTGGTTTGATGTTAAAAATATTGAAATTGTTAGAATTTAAATTAAATGTTTGCATAACGAAAATTAGTACGTTGGATTTTTTTAGATAAAAATTATTTTATTATAAAACGTAAATGCGTTAATTAAATTTTTATAAATCAAGAAGATAGTTTATTAAATTCTACGTTTAATAAAGAAAACCGCATTTTGTTATCTTTAAAACTATAAAAGTTATGATCATTTTTGTAGTGAAAATAGATACTACTCATTTTTATTTGGTCGAATTGTCAATATACTTTTTACAAAAATGTTTATATCTTTAAAACGACAAAAGATTAAGACAAGCCGTTTGCGGTCTATTAATTACCACATATGAGACTATCAATTTCATCTGTGATAATGTCATTAATATATTTACTTTGCCCTGAAATAATTATTTTTGGACCCAAAAATTATTTTGTCATCTTTTCACAAAAAATACATTTTATTAAGGTACACTAATTTGTTAATTAAGCTTTTATGTTTGTAGAAGATAGTTTAATAAATTCTATATTAATTACTGAAAACCGCATTTTGTTATCTTTAAAACTATAAAAGTTATGACGAATTTGGTTGTAAAAATCAATACATCGCCCAAAATAATGTAAAATAAAGTTAAAAACTCAAAAAATTTAAGACTGACAAACGATATATTCACACTATTTAAAGAAAACATTAATTGTATTTAAATAAACCAAAAAGAAACTTTGATTTGTCGTTAAAAATATTGAAATGATTGAATTGAAAACTCTTGACGTCACATCACAGTCATGGTCAATGTTGCAATCAAAAGTTATACATTTACATCATCCAATCATCAAATATTTACATCATTATTACCATATCCTTGTATTGATGTAGTAAATATTTTTAATTTCGCCGCCAGCGAGGAAAAGCTCGCGCCGCGAATGCGCTCGAAAGGTATAAAGATAAAAGATAAGCGCAAGTAATTTAATAAAAGTCGAAGTCAGCAGATCGCGTCACGTTATTTTTGAAAGCTGCAAGAAATTATCGCGCATTTCTTATAATTGTTATTTTGATGGCAATTATCTGCTATCGTATAGGTTATCGGCGTTCTCGCGACTTTTTTTTTGCGTTTTAGTGCTGCGCGAACATTTGACGATGTGTTTTGTAACGATGCGATAAGAGATAACCCTGTGTATTGTCAGCGTGGCTGAGGAACACAACAATAAAAAAGCAATATGTGTGTCAACTCACGCAACGTAGTTGGTTATTGTCAGGGGGTCAAACCTTAAATTTATCTCGGTAATATTCTCGTCACATTCGCATTTTTTTTTTTGTTGTTCGAATCGTCATTATGACGATTAAACGAATAATATATTCGGGGTTTCACACACTCATCACGCTCAATCTTCTCGTGGTGAGACAAATAAGTACTTTATAATGCTTCCATTCATTCGGTTATCGTGAATTCTCGAGAGTTTTTCGTCTAAGAGTTAAACTTCAGTGAACTGCGGAATAAATTCGTTCGAATTGTCAATAGACTTTTTACAAAAATGCGTATATCTTTAAAATGACAAGAGATAATGACATGATGTTTTCCGCATGGTAATTAACACATCTTAGACTACCAATTTCATCAACGATAACATCATTAACCTAATTATTTTGTCAATAGTAATTAATTTTGCAAAAAAAATTATTACATCATTTTTTTACAAAAAATCAGTTTAATGACATAAATACATTTGTTAATTAAATTTTTATTAATTGAAAAGATAGTGTATTAAATTCTACGTTTACTACTGAAAACTGCATTTTGTTATCTTTAAAACTATAAAAGTTATAATGATTTTTTGTTTCGAAAATATATACTACACATTTTTATAGTCAAACTGTCAAAAAACTTTTTATAAAAATCTTTATATCTTCTAAACGACAAAAGATAATGACATGCTGTTTTCGGCATGTTAATTACAACATCTTAAACTGTCAATTTAATTAGTGATAATAATATTAATATATTTACTTTGACCAAAATAATCATTTTTCAGCAAAAAAAAATGTTTTTAATTTTTTCACATAAAATTCATTTTATTATAAGTCACAAATGTTTTAATTAAATTTTTATTATTGAAAAAGATAGTTTATAAGATTCTACGTGCAACCATGAAAACCGCATTTTGTTATCTTTAAAAGTACAAAAGTTATGACGATTTTTGTAGTGAAAATAGACACCACACATTTTTAACTCATGAATGAACTATAAATGATGAAAAAAGTGAGTAACACGAGATGACGGCTCAATTAATCAATCTCTTTGCGACTTCTGCAGTGTCCAACAAAGCGCACGTGTCTGCTTCAACCCATTAAACTTGAGCCGTATTAAAAATATCAACTTACCAGTGAATTAAATCAGATTACTTATTGCAAACAATGCACATGTAGACAAATAAACTTTTCTTCTATAACCAGCACACGTAATAACTACTTAATATTACTAATACATTTATTATTACATTATCAATCGATGTTGATTGGTTTTAAAAATCATTAATGACGTTTTTCCGCGTCAAATTTCCAAGTCATCTTCGAACTGATCGAAGTTATTATTGATGCGTTTAATAATTGCTTGATTCGGCCGAAGTGGGAGTGATAATGTGTCTTGCTGGTATCCGCACGCCCCGCATCTCGGCAAATGGCGGCCGTGGTGCTTCCTTTGCGCGTTGCAGCTTCTATAAGCCGCGCGGCGCGAGAGTTGCGCGTCAGTCGTGCTTACAGTTTTCAGCGACTTGCATCGCATCTAGTGAGGTTATTCATCGTGCTACGCGCAGACATTCAACGCTAACACATTCCAAAAAGTCAGGTAGGGTCATTGGGAGTGATACGTGATGTTTGTCATAAACAATTTTGTTTTAAACGGCGATATATTCCAATATTTCACGGAGAGTCAACTTAAGGGTTGAGTTAAGTGCGCTAAAAACAAAAATCTGACTTAAATTCATTAAATTTTTGCGTTGATTAAAGTTTTTCTTATCTACAAAGTCAAAAAATAATAAAAATTAATTTTTAAGGGATTAAATTCTTTAATTTAAACTAAATTTGTTTATTTGTTGATTGAAAAACGTTAAATTCTTCAAAATTTCAATTAAAACACTAAAAATGATGAATATTTGCTCAAATAATCCTAAAATATATAAATTTAAAATATTTTAAACTTTATTTTGGGAATAATTTAAGTAAAGTTGACCTTTAAGCAACTTTTTCACTTAAATTCTTTTATTAAATCTAAAATTGTTCATGTTTAGAGTTAAAAAAATTTAATTCTTCAAAATTCTTATTAAAACTTTGAAAATATTTAATATTTCGTCAAATAACATTAAAATATTCAACTTATAATCACTTCTAACCTAACTTTTGTTCAAATTTAAGTAATATAACCCCTTAAGTCATCTTACACTTAAAAATATACTCTACTCATGCGCTTTCTGAAGATACATTAATTATAGCCGCGTTCACCTATTTTCGTGCTCGCAACATAGTGCAAAGTACGTGAAAATTCATTAAGTAAAGAAAATTACTCCCGAGAATGCTTAAAAACATGTTTTAGAAGCTTCCCTGCTTTTAAAAAGGCAATGACATGATATTTCGAGATAGTAAAGTTGCATATGGTCACGGTTACATAATTTACAATTACATATTTTATTTTTGAGAGTATCATAAACAAATTACGTAGATTTGTTATCTGACATATGTTGTCATGCAGATGAGTCTTATTTTTGGGCTACTCAGAATTGAATTCTATATTATTACTGTATCACATGCAGTAATAATCAATTAATGTTGCGTAATGGTTGATATTAATACTAGGAAGGGTTTTTTGAAGAAAGTTTTAATTTTCGATGCGTTATTTTGGAATTATTTATAAAACAAATTTGTTTTTGAGTTTTTAAGTGTATGCAACCAAATATACGGTAAAAAATTGTAGAATAGGTACATTAACGGATTCATTGTATTTTTTTAGTAATTACTGCGTGTTTATTTGTTGCTTCAACGGTTTTTATACGTTTGCAATAAAAATATTTGAAATAATTTGAAATTGTCACCGTTGTAAATCCCCACTGCATCGTGCGCCTTCGAGAATATTCGATCGGCGCCATTTCGAATCCCACCAATGCGCGCGCGTGGTTGAGGGTCAGGTGACAACACTGCGCGTTTATAAAGGTTAAAGCAAGCACGACGCGGTTCTCTTTTCCACAGTTATCGATGCCGAGCGCGGACGGATAACAATAACACGCTAGAAAACGCATTGTCGACTGAAGTGCAACAATAAACTATCCCGTGCATCGGTAATACTAGTCATTAGATTTGTTACTAAGTCAAAGAAAGACCAGTCAAGACGACGACAACGAGCAAAGCGCACGGCGTTTGGTGTTCATCTTTCATCAGCAGTTGTGCGCGTGTAATAAACACGCACGCCGTACGCTTTGATTCATTTGAGTCATCGGATGTGAAGCAAATCGTAATTACGATTCCTTGTACAGATTCCATCAAGATGCCACAAACGGTAGCGAACGGTTATCCCAACGGGCACATGGCCTACGACATGGAAGATGGCTCCAACTTCCTCTTCACGTCGGAGTCAGTCGGCGAAGGACATCCAGGTGAGGCTAGAATGTATTAATCAGCTCAGAATATACATATTCAACGAGTGTCATGTTTGTTTAAACACACGGAAGTCGAAATGTTGTTTCATTTGCAACGCTCCGGTAACATGGCGTCTTGCTCGAGGCATTCGTGCAACGCAAGCGCTCTAAACTCGAACCCCAAACTATTTTTGGTACGCCGGCATGCGGCACTCACCGAAAATAACCGTCCTAGATTTAGAACGGCTAATGTCCAACTGTACGTTCTTCATATCCATCGCAAAAAAACATTTCCAGAAACACGTGTTTTCTGGCGTGATTGGTATCGTCGCGGTAATTATTCAATTGTCAATGACAGCACGACAGTTCCAAGTTGTCACATGCCGCCATTACTGGGGTTATGTTTCGAATCAATTTTTGCTTTATTGAAATGACCTTGCATTGCCTACCATTGAAAAAAACGATGTATCACCACGTGGTTGATTTATATATTAATACCTCTTCTTCTACGCAGATAAAATGTGTGATCAAATCAGTGATGCAGTTTTGGACGCTCATCTTCAGCAGGATCCCACCGCCAAAGTCGCATGCGGTGAGTTTTGTAACTAAAATTTCAAACCGAACGAAAATTCAAAATGGCTACTTCCTTTCAGAAACCGTCACGAAAACCGGCATGATTCTTCTCTGCGGCGAAATCACATCGAAAGCAATCGTTGATTATCAACGCGTGGTGCGCGACACAGTCAAACATATCGGCTATGACGATTCATCGAAAGGTATGCCCACTTTATCATTACTTCCACCGCATTCAGCACACACTAATTGAAACAGTTCCACTAAATTTAGTTGCGTTTTGTTTTTTCTTTGTGAGTAATAGTCTTACAATACTTTATTTAATTATTGCTGCTTGCATTAAACATATAGTTTTCTTTAATTAACCCTCACATGTGGTGTTGGCACTGAAAGCAAGCGACACACACACACACCAAGAAAACGCACACACAAACACACACGCATATCATGTTTCTTATGTTATCTTCTTTTGTTTCCTTCTATCGTTCGGTTTTTCCGCGCTTCCGGTTTGTTTGGGTGTGTTAGGATTTGACTGGCGTACGCTCAATCTGCTCGTCGCCATCGAACAGCAATCGCCCAACATCGCCGACGGAGTGCACGAAAATCGAGAGGATGACGATATCGGGGCGGGCGATCAGGTACAGCCAAACCAAAAATTTTAGCATCTTTACGAACTGAATCAAAATTCGACACTGAAAATCACATCCGGGTGCATAACTCTCTCCTGCTTCAAATAACTGCCTGATGCCTGAGACAACGCAAAAATCGGGTCGCATTTCAATCATCAGAATTAATTTTAGTCAAGCATGTTTTGTTAATATTTATTATTACTATTATTATTATTATGCTTTTGTGCTCTTGCAACCGAACACGTAATATTCGACATGTTGTTTTGAAATTGGACGCATTTCGCATAGAACATTGTCCACATTCTCGCGTCTTTATCGGAGCGCTCGAGTGTACATAGGCTGTGCAAGAGTAACAGAAATGACGCTGCCGTTCCCATTCGATGCGCACAGTGTCATCGGATGCGGGGGCAATGTCCATTTTACACTTGAAATCGTTATCTCGTTTCGAAACAATGTGTCCTTGATGATTTACTACACACAGACATATATAGGGGTATTAATCTAGCGTTAAATCTTCATAGGATTTGATTACAAGACCTGCAGCGTCATGCTGGCGCTTGACCAGCAGTCGTCCAACATTGCGGCTGGTGTGCATGAGAATAAGAACGAAGACGACATCGGGGCCGGCGATCAGGTGAAACTTGTGACGCTTGTTTTGTGCTTTTTCTTCTCTTCTTTTATTAGCCAGGAATATCCGTAGCCTCCTTCGTAGCCATCTTGTGTTTTTCTCTATTTTAACTTGAATTTATTAACTTGGGGTTATCTTTATTGTGTTTGGTGTATTAATATTAATATCTGCATGACCTTATTTTTCTACATTGTATGCTTGCATGTTGTTTTCTATTTATAAACAAAACACAGTCGACGTTTTTCTTATGTTTATCATCATGTTGTAGGGTTTAATGTTCGGTTATGCAACCGATGAGACAGAAGAATGCATGCCGTTGACCGTCGTCCTCGCACACAAGTTAAATCAAAAGATCGCGGACCTCCGAAGGACCGGTGACTTTTGGTGGGCTCGTCCTGACTCGAAAACACAGGTTCGTTGTATGTTTTATATTTGACATATAAATATGTGTGTATTGCGGGTTGCATAGAAAATTGTCCACATTCCAATGTCTACCAAACGCGCATCGGAGTGTACATAGGCTATGCTAGATTATAATAATGGCTACAGGCGTTCCCATTTGATAAATTATTATTGGATGAGGGCAATGTCCATTAGACAGACATCTCTTGTTTACGTTTCAAATTTCTATTGTGTTCGATTGCGTTGTGCTTATTATGAGCGTGTTTTTATAGGTTACTTGCGAATACAAGTACCATCATGGCGCCTGCATTCCTCTGCGTGTACACACAGTGGTTGTGTCGATGCAGCACAGCGAAAAGATCAGTCTGGAGGAATTGCGCAAAGAGGTACAAAGCAAAGTCATCGAAGAGGTGATTCCAGCCAAGTATCTGGATGAAAAGACCGTCATTCACATTAATCCATGCGGATTGTTTATTATTGGTGGACCACAGGTACTAAAAACCAATTTATTTCATACTTTTTATGTGAAAAATATCAAATGATGTTATTTTGATTGTATTTGCTACTCTTGACGGCCATGATGTCAACACAATTCTGATATTACTTAAAATTTATTATTTTTTTGTTATAATTTGATAGAATTGTGTTTAAATTTGTCTTAAATTGTTTGTTTCAGAGTGATGCAGGTGTAACTGGTCGTAAAATCATTGTAGATACCTACGGTGGTTGGGGTGCGCACGGCGGCGGTGCCTTTTCGGGCAAAGACTTCACAAAAGTCGACAGATCAGCTGCGTACGCCGCGCGCTGGGTGGCAAAGTCCCTTGTTAAAGCAGATCTTTGCCGCAGGTGCCTCGTGCAGGTAGCTTATGCTATCGGCGTTGCTGAGCCACTTTCCATCACTGTTTTCGACTATGGTACCTCTAAACTCACACAGACCGAACTGCTCAACATTGTTAAGAAGAACTTTGACCTGCGTCCCGGTAAAATCGTCAAGTAAGTTATAAATGATGAAAAAATTGGTAAATTTTACTATGATGTTAGTTTATTTGCTACTTTTGACGGCCATGATATTAATTTTTATACATTTACTGAGTTTTTATTGTTTTTCGAGCGGAAATTTGCGTTTATGTTGTGTTTTTATGTGCAATTTTTGTGTTTCAGGGAGTTGAAACTTAGGCAACCAATCTATCAAAAGACAAGCGCGTACGGCCATTTTGGACGCGAAGGATTCACATGGGAGACGCCAAAGGAGCTGCTTCTGAATTGACAGCACGTCGACTAAGCTTAATTCTCGTTTATTTTATTCTTTCCGATCTTTCTAAACGTAGCGTCTTAGAGAAACCCAAAAATCTCCGCCGTGTCCTACGGATATCAGACGATGGTCTGTCTGTGAAGGACGTAGATTTATTATGTATGTAGGGTAAACCATTGCATCTCGTAGTTCCTTTTTATCACGCGACTCTTCGTGCAGCCCGCGCGCGCTGCGGACCCACAGCCGGCTCTTCACAAAAAACCGAATTATATTCTCGACTCTGCGCGCATTTATTGTGCGCGCGGCGTTCGTAAACTTTTGATAAAATGCATTACTTTTCGATTTCCATTCAAAGAGCAAGCTGCAACACGCGTAGCGACGTCTTGTGTTGTGTTTACGTAAAATCCATTTAGTGGGAAAAGAGCATTTCCGAAAACACACCTGGGCCACCGCATGCGCGCGCCCCCTTCATAACACTTGTAAAAAATCCAAACAAAAATGAGGCTGTGTTCATATTTTCATCGTGTTTAATTTGTTTTTTTTTTTCTTTGGCGATTTGAGAGAAGCGCAATGTGTCGATAACTAGTGCGTCTATCAATACATAGAGAACCCAAGTAAGAAATTTGCAACAATTGTACAGTACTAGTACAGACTTCCCATATATATACTTAGAGAAAGATATATGTGTGCATGGACTCTGGGCATTTTTGATTTTCGGTGAATAATTTTTTATTATGCTGCCATAAACAGTTGATCGAGACCAAATATTTAGATAGACGATTGAAAATTATTATTCTATTGCATACAATTTTGCGATTTATTACTAAAAATCATGTTTTGTTGTCTACATTGTTTCCAATTGACGTTATATTACCTATAAATATTTTTTAAATTATATTTATATAACGATGGTAGATGATGACGAATTCTTGATGAATTTTATACGTTCGAAAACGATGGTGCGATGCCCATATTGTATAAGCAAGTTAGACGCGCATTCAAGTACAATGCAAAGATTAAAATAATTATCTAGACATGTATGTAGGTGTCTTAATTATAAACTAATTGTTTAATCATGTTTAAATTTCGAATTGGAGTATCTATTATTGTATATGAGATGAAACATGAACTATTAAAAATCACCAAAATATATACTGAGAGGTTATTGCTATATTAACAAGATGGCGGCGTTAGAAGTGAAAAACATAACCTTTTTTCATTAAATATGAACAAAAATGAATGAATTTCGTTGAATTGACTTTAAAATCCTCTGTATTGCTAGAAAATGTTTATTCAAAGCGTTTTGCGCTTTTAATCGATTTAAATTGGTATAATTGTTGATTTTGACAAGTCATTGTCATAAACACACTCCAGATACAAAATTATTGCATACTCACTGTAAAACTCGTAGTTTCATCTCATTATATACTCATCATGCAACAAAATCACGCATTACATGACCATTCGACTCTCTCAATCGAACATAATACGATTTCATACAGTTAAATTCACTACAGTACAAATGGCCGCATCGCAAGCGCCTCTACTGTAAACAACTAAGTAAACACAAACGACAACGATTTTTTCATAGGATAAACACAATTAAAACGTGAGTAAACCATATAATCTCATAAGTACGCCCTGAATCAACATTAATACCAAAGAAAATAATGGTTTAACTCATTGTAATCCGTGAAAATCTTCAAAATAAGATTCTAACCTGTAACGCTTCTAAATTCGTAGCTCACAAGAGAACAATGACTAGATATGCTCTGCGGGTGAAAACGAAAGAAGGCCAGCAAGTGGTCAATACACTAACGGCCGAATCCACTGCCAAAGAGTTGCGAGTTCTGCTCGCCAACATATCAAACATACCAGAGAATAAGTTACACATACTTTCTGGTTTTCCACCCAAACCACTCATTCTAAATGACAGCGAGACACTCAATGTGAATGGGATTACCTCAGGTGATACTTTAATTCTGCAAGAGTTGAATGATGCTTCCACTGCCTCTAGCAATGTACCTGCTGTGAAGCCATCAGTGACTTCAACAGCACCTTCAAAGACTGATGATCATTACCAGGAGCAGGAGTCAGCCAGTGTGAGTGGCATCCTGATGAAACATGTAGTGCCAGCGGATAATTCCTGTTTATTTACAAGCATACATTTTGTGTTGAATGGGAAAGTTGATGAGACTGGCAGTGTGGCACCTTGGATGAGGAATATTATTGCTGAGACTGTTTCAAGAGATCCTGAGACTTACTCGGATGCTATTTTGGGTAAAGCAAACAGTGAATATTGCAAGTGGATCAAAGATGATAAGTCTTGGGGAGGTGGGATTGAGATTTCAATTTTGTCCAGTTATTATGGGATAGAAATCGCGGTTGTGGATATTGTAAATGCAATTATTAACAGATTTGGAGAGGATCAGAATTATGGACAGAGGGTTTTCCTTTTATTTGATGGAATTCATTATGATCCTTTATATTTAGAATCTACAAGTGTAAGTTTGCGTATATTTTGTCATTCCTATGTAATTTTTGATGAATTTGGTCCGCAGGGGGAACATTTACGCACAATATTCCCCACGGAAGATGAAAAAGTCTACCGTGACGCCGAACAGCTTGCAATCGAAGCGAAATCCAGCCGGCAATACACAGACGTGAATAAATTCACCCTTCGTTGTGTTATCTGCGACATACGATTAAAAGGACAGACGGAGGCGCAGCAACACGCCCAAGAAACAGGCCATGCCAACTTCGGCGAGATATAGCACCATAAAAATTAATTTATAGTCTAATTATATTATGGAATTATGAATATCAAGAACAACCAACACATTTGATTCAAAATCTTTTCCAAACCAAGTAAACGCAGTCAGAAAAGTTACAAAGTTTCGACTCAACATTTATTATGTGTCAATCTAATAAAATAGCATCAAGTAATTTTAAAATTTGTTTAGGAACAGATAAAAAATAACGAAATGTTTGTTACTAAGAAACCCAGTACACAAATTTATTGGTTATGTTCCTTTAAAGCTTTCAAAATCGTGCGGAATTGTATTTTTTAGTTTTTATCGGTTTTAACACCTAAATTATTATCATTTATTGTTGACTGGGAAGCAAAATGAGTCTCGTAAGTTCCAGACACGTTTTTTTTTATTATATTTTACAACATTTTGATTTAAATTTGTAGAAGAAATTAAAGTCAGCAATATTTCTCACCTGTGGAGGTGTAGCTGCTTACATCTCTATAAATCTCTTCAAGTACAACGATAAATTCTATGAGGAATATGTTATGCCAGCTGTGCACACGCTGGATCCTGAAACAGCACATAGATTAGGCATTTTCATCAGTAAATATAGATTATTACCAAAGAGTCCATACATTGATCCAGACCTATTGGTATGTTTTTATAATCAACTATCAAACAACTCTTAAAGCATTAATTTGTAACTAATTCCAGAAAATTGATTTGTTTGGTCATAAAGTATCCAATCCTATTGGCATAGCAGCTGGTTTTGATAAACATGGTGAAGCAATCAAAGGTCTTTTTGATCTGGGCTTTGGTTTGGTTGAAGTTGGATCAGTTACACCTCTGCCACAGCCTGGCAATGACAAACCAAGACTGTTCAGACTCAAAGAAGACATGGCGGTTGTAAACAGGTATGGATTCAACAGTGATGGACATGAATCTGTCTTCAATAGGCTGCAGAAACTGTCTTTAGAGACACCACATGATAAACAGGGTTTGGTAGGGATAAATTTAGGTAAAAACAAGACTTCCCAGAATGCTTCAGAGGATTATGTTATGGGTATAAATAAATTCGCGCCGGTTGCTGATTATTTAGTTGTTAACATCAGCAGTCCAAACACTCCTGGTTTGAGAAATCTACAGAATGAAAAAGAATTGACTGAGCTGCTTGAAAATGTAACTGATGCAAGGGATAACCTGGAAAAAAGGTGCCGATTTTATTGAAGCTAGCTCCGGATTTATCCAGTACTGAGAGGGAAAATATTGCTAATATTGCAATGAGATACAAAATCGACGGACTTATTATTAGCAATACCAGTGTGGCAAGGCCAGAGACAATGGTATCTGAGTTTAAAAATGAAGTTGGAGGCCTGAGTGGTGTGCCCATTAAAGATGGCGCTACACAAATGATTGCTGAGATGTATAAGTATACAAATGGCAGGATTCCGATTATAGGAGTTGGTGGAATATCTTCTGGTATTGATGCGTATGAAAAGATCAAAGCTGGTGCGTCTGCACTACAAATTTATACGAGCTTAGTATATGGAGGACCTCCAGTGATAATAAAGATTAAATCTGAGTTAGCTGCGTTGTTGCAGCGAGATGGTTACAAAAGTATTAAGGATGCGGTTGGTTCCAGGTCGCAAAATTATGCGTTGAGTTGATTAAAGAAGAAATTGCATGTGTTTTGTTGTAAATATATATTTTTTGGTCGAGTTTTCTGTTTGTTTTTGTTGGACAGGGTTGTATTATTGTTTTGGTTGTTTGCTATACGCGTCTCACCATGCCTCGTGGCGTTTAAGATGAAAACATAACCTACAAATATTTTGAAGTGTTAATTCTGTTAAACAACTTTGTTGAATTTATAAATTTAAACAGCGATGGCAAAACAAAAGACAAACGAGTTTGATTCGATTCAGACATATGACGAATATCAAGAGTCCTTGAATTTGAAACAAACGTATGAACGTGATACTGCGAATACTGCGTTCATAAAACCTCTTGCGGTAACTTCGAAACCAAATATAAATATTCCCCAAGTGGTTATTAGGCCAACAAGCACTGGTCCTCTACAAGAACCGAAGACAATAGAAGTAGATTACGACCATCTTAACATATCATCGTTCGTGGTCAACAAGAACAAGATGGCGGCGAAAAAAAGATTAGGCCTTAAGAAGAGGCGTTTATACAGCAGCCCAGAGCTGAATTCAAGCCCAGTTTTACCTCTTGATACCATAGCAGATGAAACTGCACTACCTGTACAACAAGAGAATACATCGAAACTTTCAAAGCATAAGAAACTTGCAGCAATTTCCGAAGAAACTGTCAATACCATTAACAACGCTTCTATAGATTCGAGAGATTCTTTTGCTGGTCATAAGTTTCAACCAACAGTTGGCAGTACACCTCTGGTCGAAGTAGAAGCACAACCTAAGACGACAACACGAGTTAAAAGACCACGAAAACCATGCATAATTGAGGAAGATTCAGATGATAGTGACAGTGACAGCAAGGAAAGACAACAAGAAGTTATTGATTACTTCTGGCAGAAAAGTATGATTTTAATCAAAACAAAATCAAATATTTAATTCATTTTATTTATCTTTTGTAGTTGGGAAGTTAAGACGCAGCGTTAATAAACTCACCGAAAAGGTAAACGCTCACGTTGCGCAAAGCAACCGCCAATAACCTAACCGCAAATAATTCACTTCTTCATCTTTTTTTGATTAACTTGTTTAACTTTAATTTCTTCAACTTTATCTTTGGGTGTATACTTAACAATATACAGCGCCTTTATTTCTTCAACATTATCCGCCCATACATTCGACCATAATTCGCACATTTCGGTAATATTCTTCATGGAAACCAACTCTTTCAAACATAGATGTTGATCATTACGAAAATGTGTAATAATCGAATCAAATTCTTTACTATTTTCATTCGATGTGTTCAAATAATCACCGCTGGAATACTTTTCTTTGATTGTCGATGCTTTAACCCATTTGGATTTGATATACGAAGAGAATTCGACTGAAGACACTTTCAATCCTAGTTTTAGTAACTCTAGTTTTGAATTTAACTGATCCACTACCTCGATATTCATTGAATCAGTGCTTGGGGTAATCATTGCCTCATCAGACATCATTATACGCTCAAAATACGCAAGTTTTTGTCTGAGTTGTTGAAAAATGTGTTCATCTTCAATGTAAAGCAGAATAAAGTTTTCTATGCATTTCTTCAGACGTGTCTCCATCTTGTCCATTTGCACTTCAAACATGGCGACGTTTTCGATCACTTGTGTTTCATATACATCATATTGTTGATCTAATAAGACTTGTTGATTAATTGCGAGGTCTTGTATCTTGTTATATTGAATAGTTAACTCTTCAAGTAAGTTTTTATTGTTTGGATGACCATGTAGAGGTTTCAACTGGTCTATTAACGTTTGGAATGATTGATCGATGGTTTCACGTTCTTGTTTTATGATTCTTTTGTATGCGATGCAGTTATGTGAGAGTTGTTTAAGTTTTTGTTCGATAAACTCTTCGATACTTCGTTTGTAATAATCCGACATGAATGATAACAACTCGTCTAGTTCCAGGATATAATCTAAGATTATAAAATGTTAAAATAAAATGGTTGAGTGAGGTTATGAATTACTTATGGTGACTTCCACTAAGATTTCATCACATTGTAGTTGATAGTAGAGACATTTTGCTAAATGGCTTATCATGAATGTTTTTAATTGTGTTTCGTAGTCATCCGGGTTTATTTTCTTATAGTATTCCTAAAAATTTAAAACAAATATTTAGGTGTCGCTAGTGTCGCTTTTAAAATGGTAAAACGTCAGAATTAATAAAAATTTTACAGTGAAACGTACAAAATCTCATAAAATTACAAATACAAGATGTCTGCGCTTGCTCTACATTGGGTTGAAGCAGTGAACAAAGAAGACCGACTTAGATTAAGTTGGTTCGTGAACAACGAAGCCAAAATCCGTGAATGCGCAGATAAAGAGTCCACAGGCGTCAGCGAAGAACAAAACAACGAACTTGTCGATCTCATGAAGCGTATGGTAAGCAATAACGAGCGTAAATATCGCCCCACCGGCCAAGACCCAATCCCACCGCCAATAATAGAAGAAGAACAAGATAATAACGAAAATGTACCCGATGATGATTCCGAATATATAATCGGTGCAATAATGCGGCCTTTTCCAGTGTAGAAGATCATAAACTAATCGCCAAGGAAGGCAGAAAAGTTTACCTTAAGAAAAGGAATCTTTTACTACCGGAAAACAGGTATTATTTTAAGGAGACTACAGGGTTTGAGCACGGATGGAAGATGTGGGATTGTGCGAAGACAATGGAGAAGAAACGACATGGAAAATCAGCGATTATTAAACAGACGTTTTATCGACGCAGGGCTGGAATTGAGCAAGATCCAACTTGGTATCGGACACCGATTAGAAACAGTCCGACTGTTTGTAATTCATCATGGGATTAGACACACTAGACTACACTGAATTAACAATTAATTAAAAATTCAAAAGTTAACTTCTACCCTGCATGAAAGCTTCTGTAGATCTTCCTGTGTTGCCTCCGAACAAAAATGTTTACGATTCCCTTGACATGTAATCATTTTAAATGGAAAAAGTCGGAAACATTACTTTTTACTGTTGCAGTAAATTAGTTTCTTCTAGTTTTTCTCTTTGTAGATTTTCATGATTACATTAGTTTCTGAATGATTTTCTGTATTTTCTGTTGTTTGTTCCTCATTGTTTGTTTCTGGTAGTTTAAACAACCGTATACCGTTAAAACTTCTTTCTCAAAAGAGATTTTTTCGTATAATTCTTCTTAAAAAATTTTGTATAGAAAGTACTCCGCAATTTGACGTAAAATCATCCAAATATCTGGATTTGTCCGATATTATTCTCTGCTAAACTCTCAAGACGTTCAACATGCGCTTGATAAGTGATTGTAATTCTGAACTAATGCCTGTGTTTCTTGTTTTAGCGATGTACTTTCCTAGTGAATTTATCGGTGAATTCCTTAAATTCTATGCTTGAAATTATTCTTCGCGTTTGGATTCTTCATTGAATTGTTCTTCGATTGTGTTTATTTCTTCTAAATGAGCTGATATTTTGCTTCGTTTTCTTTATCAATCTCTGATTTTGTTTAGTCATGTTTCTTTTTGTTTTACCCTGTAAATTTTTCTTCTATGTTTGCAATTTCCTCATCGATGTATAACTACCGTGTCTTCGCTGAATAGTTTAATGTGTTTGATGAATTCCAGATTGAGTGTTTTGTAATTCAGTAAACGATGAAATTTATCGTCCAGTTGTGTTTTTATTTGGTTCAGACTAACAATTGCTGTGTTTTGAAGTGCTGAAGTTGTTTGGTTATTCCGGTGGTGGTATCTTTATATTTGCTAATGATTTATTTAGTTTCTTCAGTTCCATATTCATTTGGAAGATTATTCGGCGTAAATATTTTCTTTCGGTGTGAATTTTATTAATTGTATTAATACTCCTTAAAAATAGTTAGGTTATAAGCTAGAATAAGGCTATAAGTTGTTTGACAGCCAATTTAACCTTAAAAATATCTACTTACCAAAATATGCTCTATCTAATTCTTCTTATGTTGAATTATTTCGCAAGACGTACACGATAATAATATAATGAAATATTTCGATACATTTAGCAATTAACGCTGATTTGAGTTGATAATGTCGATAGACAATGATGTAATTTTTTCATCCAAGTATCGCGTATAATAATGTGTTCTCATGACAGAATTCGGAATTTTTCTTATGATATTGAGAGTAACTCTGCAAATAAAATCATAGGTGGCAGCCATATTTGGACTATTTTTATATTTTGATTTATAGAGCCACATATAAACTGAAGTGAAAAGTAACTCTCAAGGCTTACCAACAAAATGATATTTTTTATTTAAGTAAAATTATATTTATACCTTCAAAGTTCAATTTTAAAAATTAGGTTTTTGGTCCAAATTAAGAAACCGGTTTCCTAAATTGGACCATGTTTTTTAACGGCAATTGACAATAGTAAATTTTAGTTTTAGTAGTAAATACGAAGCACATTTTGTATAAAACCAAAGTGCGGCATTTCATACAGTGATCATTTCCGAAGATTTGTGCTCGTCCACAAGCTTTTCTAGGAGGTCGAAAAATGTGATACGTTTTCCTGTAAAACTCGGTGTCTGTCTTCGGTCCAACTTTGGGCAACTTGAAGAATTTATATATAATGATCAAATGTAACAATCTTAATATAACATAACCTCTCAAAAATTAATACTATAAATTATAGATAAATAAAGAAGCTTTCTGATGATAAAATAATAATCGGTAAACTAACGTTTTAACGGCTTTGACAGTTTTGCACTTACGTCGTTATAATAGATTTGATAATCAATGATACACGAAGCTGTTGTCACGACGAAAGCACGCGGCAAGTTTTAACCCAAATACAGTTGCATTAATTGTTTATAAATACGAGTAAAATAAGGGGCCATTAATTTTTTGCATAAACTTCAACAGTCCGCGGATATCGTGGTGGTCCAACTTAGGCGCTGGTCCAAATTATGTTATTTTCCTCAAATTTTAAATTTTAGATGTTAAAATTTAAAAGATTACTAACCCATATAACCAGTTATGCATTGCTTGATATCCGCATCGAATTCTTTCATCAATATCGGTTTGTTTTCCGGTGGGATAATTTCTATTCTCGACCGGACGTCCTCGCGAAAAATCACAGGTTAACATCACCACTTAAAAATAACTTAACAAAAATAAGATATTTCTAGGTATAATATTTGGACCACTTTCTTTACTGAATCATATCACGAAAACCTGTCGAAAATGACGTACGCAAGTGCGTGTTTCTGATAACTTTCTTCAGATCTAAAAAAATTCAGTTCATTCATAACTTGTATTAGTTTTTTTTACATATAAGTACGATTTTGTAAGGAAATCCAGTAACTTTACAATCTCCCATTAATTTATTGAGAGAATCTTCATTTGGACCCATTCTCGTACTGTACCTTGCTGTTTTATTTAATGCTGCCATTGTAAATTGAATTAAAAGTTGTTATTTTAGGTTAAAATAGCATTTTGAAGGTTAGAATTTGGCTACATATTCAAATTTAGCATTCTAACTGCAATACTTAACATTTTCTAATTTTTAAAATACAAATTTAACCTAATATACATTTAAATATTATTATTTTAGGTTAAATTAATTTTAAAGGTTATACTATGCGTACATCATCATCATCATCTGAAGTATTAATTAAATCCCACAACCATAGAAAAATATATCAGTGACTTCAAGCTGCCGCACAAAATGTTGATCCCAAATGTGTGGTATCTTCACAATCTAGTTTGCTTACAAAATTCAACTTCATCCGCCAATCTATCGACAACATCTCGCCATCTTCCCATCATTACCTCCGTGTACTCAGTCACTTTTTCATAACTTTCAAATTCAAACATCGATCTGTAGATCTCCCCATCAAATACCCCAAAGTCACGTTTTGGTAACCCAACGAAATCTGTTCCCAATCATGTGCAATTTCCACGAAACGTCCTTCGTAGATGCGCTTCAAAACTTTGTAAATCATATTCGTTGCACCCTTTCTGGCCTTCTTGATTCCAACAATTGAATACTCATTGTTAAATTTTCTGTAAACGCTTTGATCTTTAGCAGTGTTAAGACACCACGTCAATGTCATCTCCCGAAGAATATTTGTCTTTATTCCTTTGCTGTTCTTCATATTTACGTTGGAGAATGTAAAATTTAAGTTTATCGACTTTTTTCAACCAAATATTTTCGTTACTCAACGCAATATTCTATCAGTTGACTTTGTAGCTCTTAAATACAGTAGTGGTTCGATAATGTCATCTGATTCAGTAAATATTATTTTACTTTCAAAGTACAATTCATTGGAGTTCAGTAAATTTGGTAAGAAATCTTTGTTAAATTCCTTCATGCTAAGATCGAAAAGCTGCTTTAATGAATTCATACGTTCCACCAACTGCTCAGTTAAATCGCCGCTTAGTTATCGCTAGTTTCATCCTTTACGGTATGAATCGCAATCATTTCTAATCGTTTAAACATTTCTTCGTAATGAGCGTATAGTTAAAGTGGTTTTATTAAAATCAAATGTATATTTCTCCATGTCTTCCTCTACGTATTTTTGTATTAAAAATGCATTGTTTTACATTTTCTGTGACGCGTTTCGAATCTTGCTTTCCGTTTCTACTTTGATTTTAATCATGACGTCTTTAAGATCAGATAAGCGTTGATCGTGAAGTTTTTTTGCCTGTCGCTATAAATTCTCGATGTACTCGAGGGTTTTGTATTAGGGGCTGAAATTAAAGGAATTTATTGCGGTTTTAATGATTTTTCTGTAATAATATTTTTTATCTAATCCGTTGGTAATGCATTTATTTCGGATGGTACGAATGCTTCATCATTTTGCGATGATTTTGGCATCATATCGAATGGTAACACTTGAATTTGGGGAAAGTAACGGTGTAGACATTATATTTCATTTATTTTGCAATATAAAAAAAAGTATAAACTGTGACTGCATGGGTGTGAGGTATAAATAATGTTTTTGTTTAAAATGAGAAATTCAGATAACAGTCACATCTGTATGTCAGTAAGTCGGGATAACCTCGGCCAAACTCATAGTGAAGTAAGTGAGTTTGTTATTATTTCTGAACAAAAGTGGGCTTTAAAATGTTTATAACAAAGA